TTGGATCTATCATAAAACTTACGAAATGATAAATTTAAACGAGACTCCTGATGTACTTGTTTTATCAACTTAATATACATCGTTTTAGAAATTGTTCAAGCGTGAAACATGCTCTTGCGTATCGAAGCAACTGAGATATATAAACTCTGTATGCAGGAGTGGAAATTGCTTACAAAGAAAGAGAAGTTGACTATAATATAGTTAAAGTCATTACGTTATTATAATAGAGCTTCGTTGTTCAAATACCGTTTACGTCTTTTTGAGACATAAATGTGATCTTTTACATTACTATTTAAAGTAAAAAGAAGGACTTCCAACAGGGATGTTATGTTTCCATGAGAACTGAAGGTATCTAGAGTTGAAGAGGTTATTAATCAAACGTATTTTCATATAAAGAACCGGAAGCGTCAACCAACGGGTTTAACAAACAATATAATAAAGATTTTCCATTTGTTATAGATCTATACACTTAACAAAACTTCTAAGTGTTCACTTTAATAAATGTATTTATTTAAAAACTACTTTATAGAACGGTATGATATTTTCGAATTATTACAACAAAGGAGTCTTCTCAACAAGAAAATAAAATATCACCGATGAAAACCAATGTACCGTGACGAAGCTTAAAAACAATAACTCTGTACTTTGCGGCACGTGTTTCATGTAATTAGCCTCTTTTTGTGACCATTATCAAAATAGAAAAACTGTTTTCACTAAAAAACACAAAACATTGGCAAAATGACCATTGAGATAGAAGGAAGAGCCGTTGGAATGTTGATATCTAAACCATCCTTGCACCATGTTTTACTCACTTTTATTTTAGTGTTTAATTGACCATGATATTACTTTTAAAAATTAACAACCAGTATCAAAACCCATTTAAACACATTTTTCTATAGACTGTGCTTCATTTTTCACCGCCAATTTATCACAATTTGAAAGTTTTGGACAAAATTTAACCAAACCGGAAGTGACCTTGATCTTCGTCTGAGGCCAAAATTTCGCGTCACATCAGGTTAAAAGAGTGTTAAATTGTCCTGAAACAATCTTAGAAACATGAAAACAAACAATTTCAATCGTATGAAAATGATAAGAAATCGGTGCTCGTAACAGTCTAATAGCAGCTCAAGCAGTCTGAATCATCCTTAAATCGGTGCACTTACGTGCTAAACACCCTAGGATATTGACCAAAAGGCATCTGTGTTATGATACACTGTCAAATTTCCGGATCTGAATCTCATTGAACATATTTGGGATTTTCATAAGGAATGTCAAAGCCCCCCCCCTCCACACAATTTAAACGGTTTGGAAAGATCTATAGAGTAGGTTTGGCAGCAGATGGGCCAATCTCCTATTCAGGGGTACATGTACATGATATCCTACAGTAAAGATTGTAAAGATTGTCTTGTTGTAATTAGAGTGAGTGGTGGTTTTACTCCATAGAGATTTTTTTGTGTGAATTTTTATTTTGAGGGTACATCATTTCCTTGACACTTTGCTTAAAATTCTGAAGAGATATTTACATGACATTTACGCAACATCAAACTTAAATCTGCATTATTAACCATGAATTAAAGAAATTATTAATTGTATACATTTGTTCTTTAAAACTTAAAAAATGTTAGGTGAACACTTAGAAGTTTGGTTCAGTGTATAAAGTCATTCATAACATTGTATTGGAGTAAGACAGAGAAAACTATTTATTCATAAAAGGCAATCAAAATATTGGGCGACCTGGGATTACCATGTTGATAACGATTAAATAACTTTTGTGTCTTTGATGCCTAAGGAGTTCATATAATGTTTAATTATTAGTACGCAAAATGACGAACTATTTAGGGATGATCCAATATGATAAGTTTCTGCTAGGAATATGGGAAACTACTAAGTTGCGTATGCATTTTATGCCCCTTCCCTGCTGTTTTCATATGTCTATATTGGCCATACACATTAACTACGTTTCCATATGAGTGAAAAATTCTCTAGAGGGGCGTTAAACAACATACAATCAATCAATAAATACGTACTGCAGCAACAACAAACATCACTCTAAGCTTTAGGCACTCAAAATAACATTAAAAAACAAATATTAAACGCAAAACGTTTTGTTTCAAAAACTGCTCTTTTACTATCAGTAGTAACGAGAAAATGTATTGAAAAAATCTGATGAGTTTTTGTGCTCAGGGTTGAGATATTTAACTTTATTACTTATTTAATCTACGTTTGGCAAGGGGATCAGCTTATGTTTTGGATTTCACCCCTTTTGAATACACATAAGGCAAATATTCTTTAGCTCGAAAAGTGGAGCTTCTTTTTTACAATTGGAGTACTTTACTTTATATCTACATAAAGTGCTTTGTAAAGGTCATACATACTTCAACTTGATTGTTATTACTTGAAATTTATGAGAAACATATTGGTTTGAAGTAGCACTCTTGTCAGATTATGCAGAATACAAAGAAAAAAACACACCACTTAGATATTTAATTATAATTCGGATATCTCTTTGCTACTTTGAAAATTGTGCACAATTGTATGCAGTTATTATTATTCTGGAAAAGCTGGCGGTCAAACTCAATTGAAGTTAAATGTAATACGCAGCACTGTTAAGTCCTACTACGAGAAATCAACGGAAAATAGACGTGCAAAAAGGGGGATTTTTTAAAAACTGAATTTATTGTAATTAAGGTCTAGATCTAGTAAATAACTTGAGACTAATTTTTGATTCTAGATCCATTGTGACGTCATAATCAATTTCAACTTTCTTTTTCCCGTACTTTACGGCTTCAGCAGAATTATGTAGAAAATAGGGTATTTTCATGTCATTCAATTTGAAATCATATAAAAAGTAAACCGGATACCTTTATTAAATTTGATATTGATTTAAAGAAGAGGCTATGAACATACTAATTACCGTTTTCTGAGAGACTGTAAGCAATCTGGATACATTTCCTTTGCAGAATACGAAAAAAACTCCCATATTCATGACTGGTTTCCTTAATTTTTTATTGAAAATGACAGATTAAAATTCAGTTTTTCATCTTGTTTACCTACAAATTATGCCCCGAAACACCTTATTTGACCAAGCTAAAGTTGTAAAGCATCAATAAAGGAGTTTATTTCTCAAGTTTGATAAATCTGTAGGCACCCTTCATTTACTAGATCTTGACTTTAAGCTGTTTTATTATCACAGAACTTGAATACTTATGGAAATAGCATAGTATAACACACTCTGTACTTTATGAAGTTTGGTCCCATTGATGGACTGTCACGTGATAAATGTATAGTTCGTGTAATGAATGTAGGTCATGAACAAATGTCAATATCACAAGGGCATACCCTAGTTGAAATTAGAAATTCAAGCTTTTAATTGTTTCTGAAAAGTGCTGCTGCTTTGAATAGAATTCGCGTTTTAATAGTTAAATTTTCAGGTAAATAAGCCAATGTCGAAACATGTTTGACTTTTACTAAATATTTTGTGTACTTATAAAATCACGCCCTCGATTTAAAAAAAGCAGCAGCACTTTTCAAGTTAAAAAAATATCCTTATCTATATACAAAAAAAAATGGTTAAGATCGATTGAGCGTATGCCCTTGCGAAAGCGCGATTTTATGAGGCATCTCATTGGAAAATATACCTAACCTGTACATAAAAACACGACATAATTAATAAAATACATTCTCTTGATAGTAAATGAATAATCGCACTAAACAAAGCATATACAATGGTATTGATCGACTATCTAAAACCTGTAAATAATATTCCGTTTATTAATAAAACGCATTTTTCATTGTTGAAAAATTCCTCAATCTGCCTCTCACAGTACATGAAATACGTCATTTTTATCAAAATGACGTCATGTTTACAAGTTCATCGCGATCAGTGCTTTGTTTATAACCAGCTACCTTGGATTTAACTAGCAAGTTTTTTATTTTTTTTCATGCATTGATAAGTATCATTGTTGTTTATTATGCTAATACAGTTAAAAGTTGCAAATTATTTTATTTTCAGGTATTATGAGAAATACCTAAAAGTCATATTTTTGTGTGACGTCACAGTAAACTTTTCCCGTATAAATTAGGCCCCGCCCCTGTATCAAGCCTTCACAATGCCGCGTATTTAATGATAATTTATTAATTTTATACCACCATTTACACAGTGACTATTTTAGAAAATAAAGTCAGTTTAAAAATGCATCAATTTTCACTTATGCTTTTCGATTTCATTATTTCAAAGACAAGTTCTTTAAATCAGTAATGAAAGGAACATTTTCTTTTCAAAAACAAATTAAAGCAAATCTTGTTATAATGAATTTATTTCAATACACTTCATAATTCGAAACGATAACACAGCAAAATTAACTAAATTGGTACAAACCTTTTACATTTTAAATTCTTTAACAATTTATTGTCATTTTTCCCCAATATTATAAGCTGTTTGAATGGACGGAAGAAACTTTTATATCCATCTACAAAATAAGTTTAGGCCTGCAACAAAATTACTCAACCAAGCATCACATTTCATCTAAGGGTAATTATATCTGTTTTTCAATTGTATGGCAAATTTAGTGGAAATCAAAGAAGAGGTTGCACAAAGAGTAAATGCTATTGAGCTAAGGTTCAAAATAGGAAATTCATGTTTCCTTCGAGTTTTTGTAGCATCTGTATGTCTTACTCCTAATTTGCAGATAAATTAAGCAATATATAAACATTAAATGCCATAATGTCAAATAGGTTAATAATCATTACTCCAGGAAATTTGTAAAAAAAAAAAGAAAGAAATACAATTTTGGAAAACGTGTGACATTCAATCCGTTGAAAAAATTGTGCACTTGAAAGTAAATGTATATATTTAAAATATATTACAGTACTACAAATTCATGTAAAATTGTTGATGGGAAAAATATTTAAGAAACAGAACATTGATTATCATTCCATATGATTCTTATACAATGTTTTTTTCATTTTTCAGTTTACATGAAAAAAAGATATATAAATTATATTGCTGTATAACATACCATATTAAATGAGTGTTTTGTAAAGATCCCTCTTTTTAAATTGAAAAAAAAACTGCCAATTAAATTAAATCATTGTGATTTGATTTCACACGTACCATTTTAAACAAAATACATAAATGTCATATAAAAGATGTATTTGTACCGCGTAAATATAAGTTAAAAATTTATAAAGTTTACCTCCAATATGTATTGCTAAATTTGAGATACGACCCTACTTTAAATCATTTAATTTAATGAACATTAGTTTTGAGATGTTCATTCATATACTATAAATAAAAATGAGCATTCAGTCTTATGATTATATAGTAGTCTACCACTTGTGTTGACAATTCGTATTTCATTTGGTAATCCCATAGTTTTAACCAATATTCGTAGAATTAAAGAGTTCATCAACTGTAATTCAAGGTATATTCAACCTTTTCATTTTTAATAAATATACCGGCATATTCTTAGATCCGCCAAAACCTCCCGTCTTCTATCTGGTTAAAACTCCTTGATCCACCAGCCACTGTTTCACTATCTCATAGTTTTGGTCCATCCACTTGATGTTACTCTTTGTTTTCTCTATGGCCTGCTGGAAGGCCCGTGTACCGGATCCCATATCGGGATTCTCTCTCAGGAAAGACTCCAACTATGAATAGAAATGCCATAATTTATATGAGTATAAATATGCATTTTAAATTCATAAAAAGATCACAGAATCACAGACTTTTGTATGATTTTGTTTTTCTTATAGGTTTTGAGAAACATAAATAAATAGCTGAATATTTAACATTGTTTTATTATTTCATTGGTTTTTAAATCCTAAAAGAGCACGTGCTTGATCTCGAATATTAATACTGATATTCATTTCAAATGTAAAAAAAAAAAACTAAATGTTACATGCAGATCACAAAAATTACATATCAGTTACTATGAAATCTACACATGCTGCATAAGCATAAAAGCAACAAACAATCCTGGTGCATTACATGTTTATGAAAGGTGTTTAGTCGCAAATAAATCGCCTTTGTGGATTTTTTTTCTGATTAATAAGTGATTATGTTCTACATGTATGATAGATGTTCTGAGCTCACATTGAAGGTTAATGAAAAAAAAATCACAAGAATATGTCTAGAAAATCGACGGGTTTATTCTATTAAAAAAATGCGAGTATAGTTTCCAAAAGCAATTATACTGTATATGTTCCTCTGCCTACTTTATATTAAAAAAAAGCTGAGCATAGATTTCTTATACCTGTGTAAGTTCGAATTTAATGTTAAAACGTGACGTCACTCCTGATATTAATCGTGGAAACGCAAATGAAGACAACCCATACCTGTAACAAATAAAGACATTTAAAGACCCAATTTTTTTACCGTACGGTTACCTGAGGAGGGGGAGTGGTCCAAGTAACAGTGGTGTTATTTACCTGGAGACCCCCAATACTCAAGATGTCAAAAATCTATATACACGTAGCAGTACACAGGAAGTCTGTGTCTGGTGATCAGGGTCAACATTCCGTGTTTCGTGTCTAAATTTGAGTGAAACTACTTTAAATAATTGAAATATTTCAATATAAAATTTATTTATGAATATTTTCAGCGATATCTAATGAAGAAAAAAAAATTATAAAGAAACATCGTTTTTATATTAAAAAAAATGACAAATTAAAGAAAAGAACACAGAGTAAATTAAACTACAAAGTAAACGTTTTTTTTAAATTAAACTTATAAATATCAAAATCAAAAAAAAAAAAAATTCCAATCATAGGTAGGCCTATCCATCGTGTGAACATACAATGTATACCGTACCGCGATAGGAATATTGCCTTCGTTCTGATCAACAATAGTGTCGAAAATATTCACCATTTCCGGGTGTTCGTGTGTTTAAATTTTTTTTATTTTTTGCAAGATTTCTTTTATACTTTTAAGAATTGATCTTTGGCTGTATATATTCACTTTTTAATTTCGAATATTGGGTATTGACAGATGTTAGGAAATTCGAACTAAAAGTTACAATCTCGAAACTCCTAGCTGTTTCTGACATTTCAGAACTTTACAACGGAACATGGTATAGATTGTATTCTTATATACGTAGATAAAACATGGGATAAATGAATTTTTTGTCCGTGCCGTTTGTGCTAAATATCTTTAATTTCTTATTTATCATATTCCAATTTTAATCGACAAATAGCGTTTCTGTGCACGGACTGGTCTAAATTCTACAGCAGATATCTTGAACGACATATCGCCTAAAATACAATATAGCCGTGGAGATTGAAAGCAAATATTTTATGAAGTCATGTTTTAATTATCTACTCTCAATTGTTTTTGAAATAAAATTTTACCAAGTTTCTTTTTTTTTTATCCCCCGTGTATACAAGGCGGCTACATGAAAGTGTTTGACGCGTGACCAGGCAATCGTTTTCAAAAGATACAAACTCAGACTATCAGTCAGCACGGTCAGCTGGCCTGTCAATCAAATCAAAAGCTATTGTTTTTTTAATGATTGACAGGCGGTAAATTATTGATCTTGAATCAGGTAGATTTTGGGGGCGTTAACATAAAATTGGGTGTTTAAAAGCATGCCTTTTTGGGATGAATATGCTTGTACGTAACCTCTCCCAATTTATTTATTTTTGGTACTTGTATGTAAGTACTCCCAATACTTTTATCAGAGGTACAAAGTAGTTCCTATTTTGGAGATATTCATGTCACCTCTCTCTTTTTGATTTTTCATAAAAGTTTTCAAGATGTTTCTTTTTATTTGGAAATATTTTTGCACCACATCCCTTTTCTTATTTTTATTAGCCGTACGGAGTACATATATGTAGGTCTTAATTTCGATATATTCATACAACCGCTCCACATTTATATTTTATGGGAGGAACAAATAATTCCTACTTTGTTAATGTATTAACAAGCTCTTTCCATTCATATTTTTATACGTGGAATAAATAATTCCTATTTAAGAAATATACATGTAACCTCACTTCATTCATATAATTATTTGTTAATAATATCAGATTAATTCTTTTTGGGAGATATAATTGAAACACCTTCTCAGTTAGTTGTACCCCCTTTCTTTTTTTCCTTTTTTCTTTCTTTTCGTGAAAGATCGTGAGAATTTTAAATGTCTAGAGTATGATATATTTTTAAATATGAACAATATTTATATCAGATTGGTTTTTAAGGATAAATAACACAAACTTTTTTCAGAAATCAGCATTATTTCTCATAGATTTACATGTAAATTGACAACCTGAATAATATTTACCAAGTCGAGTGGGAGAATTTTATAAGATTTTGTCATAAAGTTAAAAAATTGTGCGAAATTTTGTATGGAATTATATAGAAGGCAAGATAAAATCTCAAATCTAAACACCAAGGAAAACCTACGATTTCTTTATATTTCAGGGATTTATTATTTATGTCATTACAAATCAAAATCAGTCAAAAAATATATATCAACCCGCGCATCCATTTTTTGTTTGTGGTAAGTACCCTTAATCTGTATTCTTAACGGAACCCTTTTTATTTTTGGTTGCCTTCTCCTTATAGACTGGCTGAAATTTGCTCAACATAAAACTTTTCTAACCTTTGGAAATTTATATATTGGGCATAATAATAATACAAAATGAAATAAGCATCGACTTTTCTTTGAAAATTTTGCTTACACTTACTGACAGGAATTTTATTGACATTCTGGGTAAGGGAAAGACAAAGATTTTGTTTTTTCAAGCGTGAAAAATGAAGAGATACGTCTGTATTTGTGATGATTTATTGAGTATTAAGAAACAAATTTACACCTGTCACACTACCTGAAAAAGTGAAATCAAATAAATTCCATGCTAAGTCGTGCTAAAAAAAGACATCAATAGTAAGACTGGTATTTAGAAATGTGTTAAAAATAAATCAGTCTATTTCAATTCAGATGCAGGATATATTTTCACACTTTATTTATTCGTCAAAGTATTCAATACAATTAGCATTTTCTGTGCTTTAATCTGAAATTATTCATTCTTATATTTTAACAATAAATGGGAAAATGTGTTTATCTTAATTTTGATTAAAGTGCCGCATTCTGTAATAATGTAGAAAAATCTGCTTAAGGACATTGGCAAGTCACGTTTATCCGGAGTAAAAAGGTTTATATCATGGGTTTTTTCACTTAAAAACTGTGATTGAGAGTGATCTCCCGTGCAGAATTTTCTATGAAATAAAAACCAATAAAGCGTATTTTACACAGGTAAACAAAAGCACATGTGCTTCCTTTAACGGTAGAATCATCTCTGCAGCAAGAAAGAAAAATGGTGATGGCAATATTGTACATTGTATTTAGAGACAGACGGTAAACAGTGGTCAACAAGCCGTTATTTACCGTGCCTATGCTCACAAGATGTGACAAATGCTGAGAACCTGTATGAGGTCGTGCGAATTTAGGAACCATTTACATGTAGGAACAGCTAACAAATATAAAAAAAAACAAATCCATGCCAATATTTTTTAATGAAAATGTGTTTCCAATATAGTAAATTGCATATTAACAGAATTGCAGAAACAGTCAACAAGCTTTTACCATTATGAATAACGAATTACATACCAAGGGAAGTAACTCTCAAATAATGAAGTGTTGGTAGATCTGTGTTATGTTACTAAATTTGTATTTTCAGTCATAATATCTAGATATAATTGAAATTGAGGATACACTAATGTATATAATATATAAACTTTCTGAATTGACAGGGTTTTGGAAAAATTATATGGTAAAGAATTAGGAAGGTCCATTTTATCAACATTTTACATAGGAAATGCATTGAAAATTGTAAAAGCATTGATTTGACAAAATCTAATAAGGAAGGGTGGATTGGTGTATTAAATGTACCAGAATATAACATGTTAAGTATCATTACACCTGCTCAAGAGTTCTTGAAACAATTCTATACAAAATCCAGGAACCTTACCAATGTCCTTAATAAATATCTTTCTTTTGTTATCAAAAGAAGGTCTGTAAGTACCGTATCTTAAAACAATTTGTATATTTCATAAAAAGGGATCCTTTCCTAGTTTTCATAGATTGATTCATTGATTGTTTCCTAACGTACATGTACCCCTCTCGAGAAATTTTTCGCTCATATGGAAACACCGCCACTTGCCGGTGAAGAACTAGAAACTGTGTCCGAAACTCGGCAGTCGGGGCCATTAAGCAGTTGGGTATCTTTTTCGTGCCAGTACCTAGCAGACGCTCAACCTCTGCGCTATGAGGGCGCCTCTTAGCTTTGAGCTAATTTATTATTGATCATATATTTAACCTTCAAAAAATTAATAACTGATATTTGTTTAAGGACAGGGGCTAATGCAAATTTCGACATTTGAGTCATCACACATGTATGCATTCCAGTGCACATGAACACTCACATTGACAGATAACAAACACATGTAACGCAGTTACCTGATGCAATTGAAAGGGGCTATTGACATTGCGAAAGACACGTGCTATCATTTTACCAAATTTGGACATTTTTCCAAAGCTAAAAGAATGAAATCAAAGATGATCTTCCAATATGGGTTGAAAACTCTGTAAAAGTTCTTGATAAGCAAATTTAACATGAAAATCGGGTTATTATTGAATATCTGTCTGTATGAGAAGTTTCATTTTATCAGACAAATTCATGCATTCGTATATAAGACTTTCCCAGACAATTGATAAAAAAAACTGAAAATACATAAATAAATATTTAAACAAATACATTTTTAGAAAGTTAAAGCGTTTGTTTGATTCCTTTTTTAAATCTATGTACTTAAAATGCTTCAAACCAGACCTAAGCTTTTGCAAGCAAATTCAGAATTCCAGTTGTAAAATCTTAGGCCATGCACATGCCCATCAATCCTATGACCAATTTACCTCTCGTAATTGATAAAGTGTGTTGAATTTAGTCAAACTTCTGGCAATAAGACGGGAAAATTTATATAAAACGCTCCCTTGTCTGAAATATTAATCAAGTATGTACACAAAAATTTTCTTTTGTAGATTTTATCTTGTACATTTTGAATTTTTAGATAAAATGAACATGTTTATGCCAAATTTAGATCAAAACTCTCGTTTTGCATTTACCTTATCTAGTTCATTTTAAATTACCGGCATGGTAATACTATATACAGTATTTAGATTAGTTTTTATCAATGGATCTAATATCTTTAACTCAACCTATTCTTAATTAAAGGAAGTCCTGTACACTTAAACTTAAAACATTTATTTTTATCAATACATTTGCTAAAACTTAATTTTTTTTCAAACGAAAGTAGGTTTCGAACCTAAAACTTTAAACACTTATTTAATAACTTTGCTTATCATATATTATAATTAAGCATAGATTTTTTTTGGCCTCATTTTTAAGAAACTATGTTATTTAGCTGTAATGAGTTATATGGAGATGACCAAGAGATTTCAGGCCCCAAAGTCAATTTAACAATAAAAATTGTAGGAGAGCAAACATGGACCTCCAAAACATCAGAGGTGGCATCAGGTGCCATGGATGTTTGAACATCTCCTAACGACCAGCCACATGGCCCACATCCGCCGTTTTTTCCTTGTTATGATCGGAAAATAAGGTAATCTATGTAATATATGTTTTATTGATACTTATACATCTTTTTATTAGTCTCCCATTGGTGAAACAAGAAAGGACTGTAGTTTTCCTCTTTGTCTGTCCGTCCGTCCGTCTTCTTTTTATCGATATTTATTCATTTTGTGTTCATTGTTCACTACACCGTTTTCTACCCAGTGAAGTAATATTTTAACACATTCATACATTTAAGATAGATGTAAATTAACCCTATTATGTTATTTCAAACCTGTTAATAATTTGAAATTTCTGTGATTATTTCAACGGTTTATCGAACCCTTATAAGCGTACACTCTTCATTTCACAGCAGCGCAACTTTAGCAACAGTACATCAAGTGAAAGTGGCTAATGCAAAATCAAATTTTTATTAACGATAGATCTCCTTTGTCATTGCATTGTTGTCGCGGTCATTTGAAACACCAACCCTTTCTGTCAAAATGGCCTTAATACATATATTTTATAATGTCATAATATCATACTGGATTTACAATTACAACAATGATCAACAAAATCTAAAGAAGGAGTGCAAGAATTTGAAAGAAAATTCTCTTTTTCAAGAATTCAGAAATTACGAGAGAGAGAGAGAGAGAGAGAGAGAGAGAGAGAGAGAGAGATTTTAAGGTCAATTAATATTTCTTGAGTACTTAATAGAATTACGACATTTATCAATTTTAATGAAAAATAAGATAAAAAAGATAGATCTCCTTTGTCAATGAATTGTATGTTTTAACGATAAATCGTTTGTCACTGCATTGTTGTCGGTGTTATTTAAAACACCACCCCTTTCTGTCAAAATGGCCTTAATACATATATTTTATAATGTCATAATATCATACTGGATTTACAATTACAACAATGATCAACAATATCCAAAGAGGGAGTGCAAGAATCTGAAAGAAAATTCACTTTTTTCAAGAATGCAAAATTAACGAGAGAGAGAGAGAGAGAGAGAGAGAGAGATTTTAAGAACAATTAATATTACTTATTTACTTAATAGAATTATGACATGTATCAATTCTAATGAAAAATAAGTTGTTCATGCTTACTCTTTCAAAAGTTGATTCCAGTGCTCTCGAACGAAATCCCATGCAAGACCACGTCCAATTTCATTCTTTGATATATAGCTGATGACATCAGTAGCATCTTGTTTACGTATTTCTGATGGTGTTAACGAATATTTTAGATATCTACAATGTTGAAATCAGCGTTATTAACTCTTCCAGTAATGATCTTAGTGACCATCCCCAGGATGCTTATTTCTTTTACAATTATTTCTTATTTAAATCAATACATCTTTATCTAGTATCAGATTTTGCAATAGTCTGTTGTAAAATAAAACAACTGGATACTTCTCAAAAGAAAAAAAAGTATATAATTACATACCGGGTGAAAAGTTGTCATTCAAAATAATAAGATATTTCTTAAAAGTGTGTAAATTTTATACATATGTAGAATGGCAAACTTCGTTTTCTGGAGTTCATTAGTCAATATCAGGCACTTTTAAGCCGACAATTTGATTCCTTTTTCTCCAGTGGATCAGTCTTACCTACTTAAGATCCAAACTTCTTTAGAACAAGATAATGCCACCATCAGTCTTGATTTCTCTGAAGCTAGGTTGGATTGTTGGTACATATTATAGGCAAAATCCCAGTCCTCAATACCACCATGTCTTATGGCAGAGCAGTAAACAGTCAATCTTACTGAGGATCGAATTCTGAAGAAAAGAAAAGGAAAATTGTTTCACGTGAGCACAGTGTATTTATTTTTACACCCATTAATATTACACCCACATGACAGATAACGTCAAAATATATAATTTGTTTTCCTAATCTTAAAAAAATTATTTTTCATCCCAATCTTTAAATTCTCTTTAATTGAGTGGACAAAAAGCTGCTATTGGTTCATTGAAAATTACATAAACACGATATCGGAGACAAAAAATGATGTTTAAATGTTATAACTGCAAATAAGATATATTTATTCATATTTCATAAAAACATTATGAAATCGGTAAATAGTAAACGTATGAACATCTGCTTACTGATTGTTCTGTGGTGTTTGTTTCCAGAGTTTAAAAAGTCTAGATGCCTCATCAACACAACTTTGCAATCCATATTTACATGCTTCAGCAGCTATCAGTGTATTAACATAGCTGTAAAGCATTTAAAGAAATTATAGTGCATTTTAAATCAAAGTTTATCTCTATCATGAAGCAATACAGAACTTTAAGGTAGGTTCAATATTCCTAATAATTTTGAAAGCCCAAATTCTAGTTCGGCAATTAAATTAGTATAATAAAAATAGATGATTAAAAAAAATAAAAAACTAATGTTGATTTGCTTTTACATTTGACATTTATTTACTTACGATTCTAGATGAGTGAAATTAGAACCGCTTAAAGAAGACGGATTGAATATATCTCTGACTTTATCTCTCATGAATTTCTGAAATTTGAAAGGTAAAAAAATAATTTTTCTCTTGGATTATCTTCTGCAAATGAAACAAACCAATCTAAATCATACACCTTATTAAATAAAAAAGAAGCATTTTTGTTAAATACTGGTGAAGGGCTTCAAATTTTGACCTTTACTCGGCACTCAGGGCCATTGAGCAGTGAGGGATCTTTATCGTGCCAACGCCTGCCGCTGACACGGGGCCTCGGTTTTTAAGGTCTCATCCGAAGGACCCGAATAAAAAAAAGAAACATTTTTGTTAAGTACAGTTAAACAATTTTTTTGTGCGGGGAATGCTTCCATCTCCTTGGCACCGGCTTGGGGCCATAAAACTTATAGACGAGCTCGCTTTTGATCTCAGTCTTATTTTCCATTATTAATTCCTTTGGAAAAAGTGAGAGTGGGATCAAAAGTGTGCTCGTCCAAGATTTATGGCCCCCCAGGCCTCATCCCATCTTTAAAATTTTAGCTGTGCATGTTTTCAGCCTTTTACGTCGATTTGTTTTATTTTCTTTTAATTTAAAATTAGGCAATGTCCGTTATCTTAATTTTTCTTATTGCATCAACTACTAAGTATGCATGTATATACCTGTCACTGAATTATTATGCGAAGAATACACATTACATTTCAAGAACATTCGTATCATTAAGATAAAATTTGCATCTTTCAAAATTCAGAATAAAAAGGAGAAAACCTGTTAGGTATAAAATTTCAAACATGTAATTGATTATATATTTTATTGGTACTTACAGAAAATGCTCCATACAATGACGTCCTTTCTAACATTGTGTCTACGTAACCCAATTCACGTAGGGCAGCCTGCCAGGCCACAAACTCTGTCTCTTTGTCTAAATAGTTCACAGTTTTAAGAGCAATAGTCATGCTCAAGTCCCCGGATCTAATTAAAATGCAGAATTAAATAAAATGAAACGAACTATGTCCTTTACTCTTTCAAAGGATGAAGCTTAAATAATAAAAAGAAATACTGTATTATTTATTTGACAGCTGTGTAGTTATTGTGTTCTTATTTTCGAGCTTTTTTATAAGCTCATTTGCTTCGTTAGGCTGAAATGTTCACTTAACTTTTAATTACATTTTAAAAAAACAGATTTAATTCAGCTTTTTACTTAGCTAAATTCCATGCATCATTGATAATCTGCGCTCTGTTAATTGGATGAATAACCTAAAATGAAACCAGAATTTTAATGAATTTTTTTTTGTTGAAAAATAATGGTGAAATTTAAAAGTACTTGGAATACTGTTAAGAAGTACCAGATTCATATGAAAATAGATATTTGTTTAATATTGTGTAACAGACTCATTTTTTAAGCTGGCAAAACAAGCAAGACATCTCAAAGAAACTAGAGTTGTTTTTTCACCTTATGGTCCTCGTCCAATTGCTGAATTAGTTTATTCCAGTTCTCTTCGCTATAAGTCACGCGATAATACCCATACTGCATCACATTGCCAATAATCCAATCAGATTGCTGTATATTTGAAGATATTACTTCTAGAAAGATAGGATAAAAAAGTGATTAATTATAAGAGATAACAATAACATTCATATCAAATGTTTAACTGAATTCATTTATTTAAATCCAAAGGAGAATGATTAAGATAAAAAAAGTTTGTGAAGTTATTAATATCTGGGGCTTCTTATAAATATAGTTGTAAATACACAAACACGACAAAAACTTAAGAAGGAATTGAGTTTCAATGTAAGATTACGTAATTCATAAAATCATATGAAAAAATGCTATAAACAATATTTAAACTCAAACCTTGATCCGTCTTATGCATCCAGTGAATGTTATTATCAGTTTGATTAAAGTTTAGATTCGACTTAGTTGTATAAGTAAATGGTATATATCCCATTTGTAGCTGTAATTAAAATATAAACTTTTTGTATAAATGATCATTTAAAAGAAAATTTTCAATGTACATTTATAAATATATATAATTATTTAAACAAAACAATTAATATAATATTTCTCTTTTCTTTCCTTACTTAAAAGGAGAAAAATGATTGTGTTTGACAAGGATCCACTGCGCCGTAATCTCTAAAAATTTGATGAAAATCTTTTCTGTGTGACACGGATGTTTCCGATATACATGCCATGACAGTTACATTGACAAATAATACAAAAAGGGAAATTCATTTGGAGTGTCCAAGTGTCCATAATATCCTTCACATTAACATTCTTTTGCTCTATAGCTGATTGCTGAAAGCAAAGTTTTTTTTTTACTGACATATGATGAAACTCTCTGAAACTGAATGGTTACTGAAAGGTATGGAAATGTGAATGTATGGCAAAGTAGGGTTATTCAGTCAACTTTCAGTACACTGTAAGTAAACCAATAAATACAATCAGTTTTACCCTTTGTTAATGTTATTTTCAATATAAAACAAAACATACATTGTAGGTACAATGGAAAAAATAGAAATATAGTGATCAACTGCTGAATTTATATCGAAATTTCTCAATGCCATAAGGAAAAGTTGGAAACTCAAAATAATCTTATTTTGAAAATAATGCAGTAATAAAGGTGCATTAGAGTTTTATTATTATATACTTATACTTACATTTCTCAAAATGGCGAGCATACCACAAGTCATCATGAGAAGGCAGCCTATGTATTCCATATTTCTTCAGATACCTCTATGTTATTGAAAAAATTAGATAAAGGCGTAAAAAAAAAGATTTGAGAACCGAAAAATCTTTTTTCTTTATTTTTTTTATTTACCAGGAATTAACAATTCAGATTTAAGTCATTCAGTTTGCTCTCTACAACGTCACAACATGGCGTACTTCCGTTAAACGCATTTTTTTGGTCCCAAGAAATGATCTGATTCAAATTTTCACTTAACACCGATAAATCACTGAGTATAACCCAACATAAAATATTGTGGATTTTTTACATTGACATGTGTGTGTCAATTATATATATATATATTGTCCAGTATTATTATTTCCTTTTTCATTATTTTAAAAACATTGAATTGTTTGTCAACTTATTCAATATATATATATATATATATAATTATTAAATAATATATTTACAAACTTTTAATGTGAATAAGATTTTTAGGTGTAGAAAAAATGATTTAAAAAAACATGGCTTGTCTATATGCTAATTCAGCATTACGTGTCAATTGTACACCATATACTGAAAATCAGAAATTTCTTTTTTTTTCAATAAACATGTATGCTTAAGAAGCAAAATATATCCCCCTAAAATGCAAATTTGATACGATAAACAATTATATGTATTATCTTCCCGTGTACAGTTGAATTTTAGAAAATTAATCTGTTCACGATTTGTATACACTCGAATGAATGGTTTTACCCGGTGAAATTTAAACTCTTCATGAAATCACCAAAACGTTTGGACAGTAAGTGGGATTTTGCATGACCCAAACGTTTGATCAACATTGATTATCAGCTGTTTGTACGGGAAACGTGCAGGTTTTAGATGAAGTGTGAATTTGGTTTTAGGAATTTCTTTTACCCGCTTTTGGCCAGTTACCATGTTGACATGTTTTGTTATATCTAGCACTGGATAACATATGCAAAATGGATAAAAACGGTTTTTACTTAGCTAAATTCCATGCATCATTGATAATCTGCGCTCAATACCATGAATTCCAGAAATTTAATACATTTTTTGTCTTTGTCATTGACTGGAAACGTGATGGTTTTCGCTTAAACTAATTTGAAAAACAATACATGTACAATACGAACTTCTTTCAATGTCCTTGCTTTTACTCATTACTTGTGCAAGATATAGTATAGTTTATTTGAAGTTTATTAAAAAAAAACAGTACCAAGATATTTGAGCCCACTCTTGAAGCGGATCCCTCACGCCTGAATTTTTGTGATGTTTATAATTTTTGACAGTTTTTTTTATTTTGTTCAATTTCTTTTTTTCATTGTTTTTACTCTTTGATATTATACATCTTTTCAGATATTTGAGAAGATCCAACCAGCTATTCTCGATCAAGATTTTATTCTTAACTTTGTTAGTTATTATTTCAATATTTTATAACATTAAACTTTGAAGAGAAATTTAAAGCACTGGGCTTTTAAAAATATATATCAAGGGGTTTTAACAAAATAAATAAAATATTTTAAATATTACTAAAAAATAAATTGAAATACTTTGGAACCTTATTTTATCATATATGGAGCCTATTATTAGAAATAAATGCATGCAACAACCAGAAGTCTCTGTCAAGACTGTAGCTCTACTGGTTTATACTTAAAACAAAGGAAGAGAAAAGTAGCAGTTGGGACTTGAGACTTTAAATCAGCAATAAATAGAAAAATGATCCTTGCCACTCATCAAAATAAAAACCGATGCACAGAATTGTGTATCTTAGTATAGTTTACTTGTGTGTCAAGTTATACTGAAATCGGACCAAAACTGTAGGAGGAGTAGCATTTTGAAAGAATTTCACAGAAATTTCTATTTTAAGTAACCACGGCAACACCGTTCATCGAAATCAATAACCGATGCACAGAATTATGTATCTTAGTGTAGTCTACTTGTGTGCCAAGTTATATTCACTTAAAATCGATAAATCACTGAAAACTGTAGGAGGAGTAGCATTTTAAAGTAATTTCACAGAAATTTCTATTTTTAGTAACCATTCAACACTTATTTAATCATTGAAATATAAAAACTTATGCATAGAATTATGAAAAAATATTTAAAAAAACATGGCTTGTCTATATGCTAATTCTACTTGTGTGCCAAGTTATATTGAAATCTTTTTTCCAAAACTGTAGGCAAAATATAGTAGCATTTTGAAATAATTTCACAGAAATTTCTATTTTTAGTAACCATGGAACACCGTTCATTGAAATAAAAAACCGATGCACAGAATTATATATCATGGTGTACATTGATCATCAGCTTGTGTGCCAGGTTTTACATGTGAAATTGGTTTTACCAAAACTGTAGGAGGAGTAGCATTTTGAAAGAATTTCAACAGAAATTTCTAATTTTAGTAACCACGGCAACACCGTTCATCGAAATCAAAAACCAATAAACAGAATTATGTATCTTAGTGTAGTTTACTTGTGTGCCAAATTATATTGAAATCGAACCAAAACTGTAGGAGGAGTAGCATTTTGAAAGAATTGCACAGAAATTTCTATTTTTAGTAACCACGGCAACATTGTTCATCGAAATCAAAAACCGATGCACAGAATTATTTGTATCTTTGTTGTTATTATTTCAATATTGTGTGCCAAATTATATTGAAATCTGGGCTTTTAAAAACTGTAGGAGGAGTAGCAATTTTGAAAAATTGTTTACAGACAGAAAAATAAATTGACGGACTTTGGAACCATTATTTTATCATATAAGCTCTTTGGTCTCTGACCAGTAGAGCTAAAAATCAGTTATACTTTATAGATGTAGAGATCCTCCTTAAACCTTGCTTTGGTTTTCAACCGGACAAAACAATGAATTGTATATTCTTATTTTAAAAAATACAATAAGATACAAATACAAATACAAGATACTGGCATACAAATAAGATACAAATATAAATACAAAAGATATCATTTTCCTTTACAAGAGCTTAACAACAGACCTTAAGACCATTTTTAAATGTTCCTTCACCGAGAAAAAACCTCATCATCCGAATAATGGAGGCACCCTGAAATGTAGAATAAAAGTATTTACATCATATATCAAAATTTATTGCCAAAAGTGCATAGAATTAAAATTTTCACTTGGTATGGTTTTTCACAAAAATCCTGGACATAGTCAGCCAAATGCTTTCTTGAATCAGATTTAACAAAACGAACTTTATGTTTTTTATGTAACAAAAACGAAAGAAAAGAGAAGTGTAAGATTTGGAGTGTATTTTATTTTATATAAAAATTCAATGTATTAGACGAACCTAATCATGGAGACAGTAAACATGCATTTGTATTTTTTTTTTCAAATTATACAGCGTTGTAAAAATTCATGATACAATCAATCAATTTCTCAATTTTGAAGACAATTATATGTTACTGTGGTTATTCTTATAAAAATCATTAATTTTTTTTTGGAAGATTTTTCTAGTGTTTCCAATTCAAAACTTACATTTGTTATCTGAAAATGTATTCTCCATACACAATAAATCCTTAGTTTGCTCAACTGACCTTTCCATATGAAATTCTATCGAATATTTCATTGATCTCATCCGGGTGAGAGACAGGTACATAAACCGGATGTGACGTCACTAGTCCATCAAAGTTGAAAACATCTTGTACATCTTCCACAACAATTTGGTCAAACTATGTGAAAAAGTGAAATATTTCAATCTTTTTTTATTAGAATATGTGAATGCCAATGTATAGTTAAAAAAATATATATAATACCGAAATAAAACAGTTTTTTAGTTTATACAGATACATGTACATATATAGCAGTGGTATTTTAATGAATATGAAAGACCTCTTTTCAGGAAATTATGTATCTGACAAGAGAAAAAAGGTAATATGGCACTTTATCTAGCAACCACTGAGTTGAACTTTTAAAAATTAAATACGTTCTCTCTCTCTCTCTCTCTCTCTCTTTCTCTCTCTCTCTCTCTCTCTCTCTCTCTCTCTTTCATAGAATCATCTTCAGAATATATTTTATGAAATCAACGAACCATTTTCCAGTCAGGATGAACGTAGTCTACTCCCATGTATTCCACGAAGCTGGCGAATCCTTCATTTAACCACAGATCATCCCACCAAGACGGGGTCACAAGATTGCCAAACCACTGAAGAAATAATACAGTTTAAAAGGTATCTCATAATGCAATTCACACAACAAAAACGGTATGTAATAGATGAACAGGTGATAAATATTTCCTTCCCGTCCCCCAAAATATGAAACTAGATTGATAAAGCGGTTGCTTTCTAACTCATATCAATGTAAGCTAGCTACACTTGTTGCCTGTTTCATACATAATATGACTTTTCTTTATCTTTGTACTCCAAAGTCCCCTCTTGAAGCTAACTAATTTTTTAATAAACCCTTCAAGAGTGGTATATTTTTTTAAAATTCAAAATCAAGATCTCTAGAGCTTAAAGAAATGTTTTAAAAGCTAACATTATTTATTATTTAACCGGTCGGCAGGGGATGCTCACTCCTCCATGGCATCTGATCCAACCTCTACTATTTTGCTCCGTGTTTGCTCTGCTCCTATTTTGTATTATATAATGGACGTTTGAGTTTGAATACTGTTCGCTGTCTTCATGTATTTCAACTAACGATGGCCTAAATTATGGTGACACAAACCTGATGGGCCAGTTCGTGTGAGACAACGACCGCCACTCTTTGTTTATTGGATTCTGATGACTCGTGCTTGTCGTACAACATGGCGGTCTCTCTGTACGTAATCAGTCCCCAGTTCTCCATGGCGCCGGCAGCAAAGTCCGGAAGTGCTATCATATCTGTGTTGAATATATAAACAATACATAATATTCCAAAATCCATGCTCAAATAGAAGAGTTATCGGGCTTTGAATTTTGTTCATGAGACAAACATCAAAAACACTAAATCAAATAAATTGAGGATTTTTTTTTTCTAATTGAATAAACATGAATGAAAATGCATCTTCTCCTATACTTTCTATGGCACGCCAAATTTTCAAAAATTAGCTAAACCTAGTTTCACAATTGATAAACTAGGTTTATCAACTGTGAACTATAGTTTACAAACCGTAAACTATAGTTAACGGTTCGATTAGTATAGTTTTTATCTGTAAAACTATATTTAACGGTTGTTAACTATAGTTTACGAATGATAATCTAAGTTTATCTCTCTGTAATTAAACGTTAACGATAGATTTTGTTGATAAACATAGATTCACGTCTGTAAACAATAATTTACGATCGTTAACTATAGTTAAGAGTTGCAAACCATAGTTTACAAATCGTGAAACTGTATTTATCAGATAATCTATGTTTTGCAATCGCAAATGATTGTTTTTGGTGTTAAGTATAGTTTACGGTTGTGAAAAATAGATTATCGCGTTAACTATGGTTTACAAATGTAAAATATAGATTAAAACATTGTTAACTATACTTAACAGTCCGTAAACTATAGTTTACAACCGATAAACCTAGTTTATCGACTAAGAAACTATGATTAGCTCTGTAGCAACCTCTAATGATAAAACGCCGCTTAATGATACAATTAGCATTAAGCGTTGCAATTGCAACGCTTAATGCTAGTTGTATCATTAAGTGGCGTTTTATCATTAAAGGTTGCTACATAGCTCAATTTTGTGAATTTGGCGTGCCATAGTTTTCGCTATGTTATCCATTAGAATTATGTTTATTTAAAACAAATAAAAGAAAGGTTTCTACTTTCCTGTGTAACGCTATATAAATAGTGTGTATAAGTTAATATCCATCAATGTGTTTAAAATTTGTACAGTACATGATACATTATTGCTCTATAACATAGAATTACATGTAGGCCCACATGTATGTGCGTAAAACTTCCAGATTCTGATCGAAACATTAGATCTTTCATTATAAATTCAAACTATGATGCATAAAAAACGGACTGTTCTCTACCCTGCCAATGAATTTTATTCTCTGTACTTAGACTTTAAATTGATAATTTAGTGGCAAAAAAGCTGGTTCTTGGAAGGGGAAAACTGAAATACATTTAAATGGAAAAAAAGTATACCTTGCTTTGGTAATGGAAAAGGGATTCCGAAGTAGTCTTCAAAGTAGGTGAGAACCTTAGTTCCTACAGAGAGCGCATACTCCGTCTGATTTATAGCCTCGGGTCTGGCCCAGGCCCTATACTGAATAAAAATCAACGTACTGAAAGTCCTGGTAGGCGTTTTATGGATAAGATTCGAAGTTGCTGCAGGATGTGGGGGGGGGGGGGTAATATTGATGATAAAAATAGGAGAAGCAAGCGTAGGGAGGAAAAAATATATGAATTGAGAATGAGGCTGAAACGAAAATCTGGCTATCATCATTTGTGTTTTATTTGATAAACATCGTCGTCAAAATGGTCTGATACCAAACAAGATGTTGTAATTTTACAGAAATGAATGTACGAAATATTGATGAAGTATCGAACAAGATGACGTACAGTTATGTTGTTAGCCGTTACATCCTCCTTGAAGTTAAAATCACTGACGATAAATGCCAACAAATACGTGGAAACAGGGGGCGTCGTTTTGAAACGATCAGCTATCCAACCGTTGCCTCTGAAAAATGATATAATATATACTGGTATTATTTGAATGTAATTTGCCCCAAAATAATATCAGCTGCATAAAATGTACGTAAGTCGACAGTTTAGTACTATCCGTGCTCTAAAAAAATCAAACTTTCAAAAAAGATAACACGGTTTAAAAAGAATACACAGTAAGTTTGATGAAGTCTATACTGCACTTAATACCAATTGTCAGTTTTATGCTCACGTACTCATTGTTTCTGGACTTGCAATGTGTTTTTTTTTTTACTTTCGGGGATCTAATCTCTAATATGTTAAGTAAAAATGACTGTGAACGTTTAAAATTACATGTATAAATTGACAAAAGCAACACCAAAACAAAAAACAAAAAAACACAGACTAACAAAAAAATGGCAATTATGTTTTATCTTATTATATGGATGACTCATGGTCATAAAAAAACTGAAAATAAGAATGTTCATTTGCTTCAAATCTAAATTGTATTATGGAAGGGATAGGGATTGACAATTGAAGCTTAGGTGTAAATATGAAACGAAGGATGAGTATAAACAGGATGAAAGATTGATTATATGTTATGTTATAGGCAACCAAAAAATTTGTGATTATGTTTCATTTAGATGTTTAATCACTTTATTTTGTTAACTTTGTTTTATTGCGAAAGAGAAGTTATATACTTCTTGCAAAGCAAAGATTGAATCAAGATGTTGAGCAGAGTTTTAAGCAGAGTTATAACAATTAAGATTAAGATAGTACTTCATGACTACATGTAGGTTGAGAATATACTACTCTAGCAAAGGGACTCCTTTTTGTTTACCTCTCCTCTGATTGCAAAATGATAGTATTAAATAATGACGTCATATTTTCTTTTCGCCAAAGTGTGACGTCAAATTTGGCCTTGATGGAAGGTTCATCAAAACATGGTAGAATGTTTCTTGCAAACGAAGGGGCTAAAAATGACGTAACAGTAAACCTGAAATAGAAATTGTAACATACACATAAACGACAATTAACATACATTACTTACCTATTTTCAGAAGCTATTTTTGGCATGTTTGACAATGACGTCAAATGACCTTTGCGTACTAAAGTGATATCAAATTTTGCTTTAATAGCTGGCTCGTCGAAGCACGGGAATGCTTTCCTGAGGTCTGTTGCTTGAAATTGTGTTGTTGCGGCGTATCTGTTAAAATATTATGAAAAAGGGCGACGAATTGGACAAACCTCCTCATTCAAATTTTCATAGTAAGAGCGTAAGAACTCCTGAAACATTTTTTTTTCAGATACAATAATGCCATGTTTCAAATCTAGTACATCTTCCTACAACACCATGCAGCCAATTCAAATGAATGAAAGACTCAAAAGAAGTTCACTTTTCAAATATTGTTTTTGTTTTCTTTCTTTAATTTTTTTTTTGCTCGTCATATGCATAAATCTTTTCAAATAAAAAAAAGCATTTTCAATATGTTTTTTGTTTCATTGAAATAATCCTCTCTTTGGTCTTAATGATAAAATAAATTAATATCCATGAGTTTTGCATAGGAGTTAAATATTTCACGGATTAGAAAAGACTTGTAAAAGTTTTAATGATAAATGTGTTTATGGAAAATACTTCTAGGGCAAAACATTTTTATTAAACAATTGTACAATTCTTTAAAAAAAGATACTGCTTACAAAATTAATGATATATCGTGTAGAATATAAAAGATAGGTGAGAACGTATAAAGACAGGAAAATACTTACACAGTTTTGTTGTTTCTTTTGTAAGAGCTTAAATAAAGTCCATGTAGATCGTCCTTCAGGGGGCCAATAAAAGAAAGGTCAAGGTCGTAATATTGACCTACTTGAAGCGAGGCTGATGTGTACACAATTAAAAACTGGCGTGTTGTGTCTATCTCGTGTCTCTTATAACGTAGAGAATTAGAGGCCTCAACAGGCGTCACCCGAATTTCCTCGGTCAAGTTAAGTTTATTTATATGAAGTGTGATGTTGTTGGTAGATACGTAACACTTGAGTCGGATGCGGACGGATCCGTTAAAAGTGAAGTGTTCCGGTGGGCCTTCGTACATGTTGGGCTGGAGTTCTACGGTATATAGTTCCGGAAGTGCAGAGGTGGGAAGCCGGACGTCCAGTAATTTAGAGGGCGCTGGTGTCGTGACTGGAATGGCTGGTGTAGATTTTTTGCATGCTTCACCTTTGAAAAGATAATTTTTTTAACGTTTGAAAATTATTTTCCATCAGATATTGCAAGGCACTTACATGTACCTTTGATAAGAATAAATTTTTGCAGTTTCTACTTGTATAGGTTACAACTTCTCACAGTATTAAATTTAAGATTTCAGATTTTATCAAAACCAAGATACACACATCCGATAGGTATAGATACATAATACATATATACTGAAAGGAAAAAGAAACGCAGGGTAATATAATGTTCGAAAAAATTTTGACCACTTGACCGAAAATTATGAAAATTGGTCAGAAGAGAAATTTAGTTACTGTGCAGCAAAATCAGTATTCAGAATTACTCAACCCTAAAATTTAAGACGTCACGTAGGGAAAACGCTAAAAAGTCCAAAACACGTGCAATTTGATAATGACGAGTTTGTCAACAAATCTTTTTGCATTATTTGATGCATATGAGGTATGCACATCGTTTTTCAATATTAAGAGACATTATGAATTTCTAGCAATCTTGGCACAGTTTACGGAAGTTCAGTGGGGTCTTGTTTTCGAATTGCCTAATTAATGAAAAAGGCAACATCGGTTTACAAAGCAATTTCTTGTAAATTTTCCCCCATTAAACTTGTTACCCGTTGTCAGAGAGGGTCTGGAATGGTTTTCAATCAACCGTGACGATGACGTTAACACGAAACAGAGCCATGTTAGGAGCGGGCTATTCGTCCTGCCATCTCTTAAATCGCCACCTTACTACCACAAAAACAGCCATTTATAGAGTAGATGATTATAATCATTACATTCATACGAAATTTGAAAGAACACAATTCCGCATTTAGGATTTTTGAGCCAGTCAACTTACAGTTGCATTCCTCTCACTGGCGCATGCGCGCGCCGTTTGACTTATTTTTTTGCGCGGTTACCCATGCCAAATATAGCCAGGGTTTGAAAGATAAACAAAAAGTTAAAATTCCATGCAAAGAAGAAATAAGACTCTGACAAATGCACAGGAAAGACATTGAAGATAATGAGAGTTTTCGATTTTCACTTTTGGGGGGGTATCGTCATTTGAGCTTCAATAACTCATGAATTATTAGACAAAATCAAATGGGAATTTGGCTATATCTTTTTGAAAGATAATTTTAAAAGTTAGATAGGAAAACTAAAACATATTTTATGAAAAACAAATTTAATTCACCTGAAAATTTTACCCTGCGTTTCTTTTTCCTTTCAGTATATTACACAGTAGGGCAATTGATATGAATAGCATAAATAATGTATAGTATTAAGTATGTATGAATAAAGTATTTATATAATTCCAACAATTCGTTCTTTACTCTGTTTGCAAAACATATATACATGTATTTCCAAGATTACGTATTTCCTTATTTGAACTTGACAACAATTGAATTAGTTTAAAATACTTGGTCAGAATGCATAATTACATAGCTTTTTATACATTTTTTCCTCAAATTGTCATATTTTTGACATTTAAGCATAAATTGAAATTCATCTTCTAAATAAAATTTAAGTCTTGCACCACTATGTTACCTCTTAACTACAGTGCAAGAAAAAGAGGGGCCAGCACTTCAGTAAATGTTTTCAATTGTAAAAAAAAATAATAAAAAAGAAGTGTGTGAGCAATTTTAATTGCACTAGGATTTGAATATTAGATCTAATTCTACGCAAATTTCCATTGACATTACTTTTTAATAATAAATAATTTCAAACCCCGGACAGTTACAAATCTTACAAGAGAATCTTTTTAGGAACTAAATGACAAATGGGGTGAAAATACTTTCAGGTCTGAAATGAAACGCATTCTCCAGGAACTTCCATACATCTGATAAATTAATGGGTTTTTCATGACATCTTCAATTTTCATTCATACATTGATATGAAAGAGTAGATCATGGTGTGTTTGATTTTTATGTTTTGTACTCTGTTCTTTGAAATTTCTTTTAATATTTCTTTAATATATTTTCTTCTATTTCTATCATTTTTCCATAGACCCCGCGATCTTTAAAGTATACGTTTGATATGCTAAACCTGATACTAATAATACGTTTATCTTTCATCTTTCATAATTCCAAGCATATGGCAAACAGTTCGTCGTTAATATCTCGTTCAATAAAAGATAGGAAAATAAGAATGGAAGCGAATCTGATGCCATTCTCTCAGTATGAGCTGTTATTCTTACATTATCAGGATTTTTTGACGTGCAGCGTCGTATAAAGGAGGTTACATCTGACGCCGCCCCGGAAACCCCACCGCGCTCCCCATTCACTAACATTACCCAGTCCCTAATGACAGTGATGTATTTATGAGGTGCTCGATATTTTATCTTGATCTGTTACAATACAGTATGTAGAATTTCAAAAGTAGTTTTCACATTGAAAGTTTTAAAACGAGTAGTGAGATTTTTGCAAGAGCAGACAGAGAAAAAAAAATATTTTGTATAAATAGATGTATCTTAAAATGCAGAATAATGGAGAATTAAGCGACAAATCTTTATTTATTAAAGGCGGATATTTTTTTCGATGGTGAACAAATTTATAAAAAAAAAAAAAAAATTTTTATTCTTTGGGTTGTTAACCCGCGATTGATGAATATAATTACATCATGTGTAATATACGATTCATTTTTACTTTTATAGAGAGATAATAGAAATGAGTCTTTTCCCATTATAAAGGTTTCAAGTAAATAAGAGCATTTCTGTCAAAATGTGTACCGTATTGAATGTAGAAAATATAAAGAAAACATTACGAACACTCATAAGTATGAATGGAAAGAATTCTATAAGCTACATGTATGTGAAAAGACTGCATTTTTACCCCGCAAGAAGGGGTTTAAAACCTTTGGATATTTGATGCACTGTATATGAATAAACCACACTTTATTTCACTTCCATTTTTTTAGCGGATGAGATGCATTTTCACTTTGAAAGAAGATAATCTAAATTAGTGAGAGTCAATTGATAAGCTTAAGAGCTGCTTGGCAAAACACATGCAAAATTGTATAAAGGAAAAAATCAATATTCTGCAGTAGAAATAAATAATAAATACAACACAAAACATACCCATTTTACAACTTCTTTAAATTATGTTTTAGTCTATAAATAATCATTGGAAGGAGGTGGTTGCAATTTCTGATATGCATTTGTTGGCAAGTTTTATTAATTTCGTTATGCATATCTGATGTTCTGCACAATTTCAAAGATGTTAATCTGAACTCTAAAATAAAATACATAATCTTAACTCATGACGGTTTATTCGTCTTTATTAAAAAAAATAAAACGTAAGCAAATCTTGATGTAAGATTAAAATTCTTGGCAGTTTTGTGATCTCTACACAGGGAGAAAAGTTGAAAAAATAAATCAAAATTTCATAAAAACAAACTATACCCGACAAAGATATATACATTGCCTCGCAATCACGAAGGATTAGAAAAATGGATCTAGAGTTTAGATGACATCATAACCTCCCCTTTTCTAAAAGTTCGTCCTGGCCACTTTGCTAAGATATGAAGACCCTATCTATTTTTTGATTAAAATAATAAGTCTGAACTTTTAGCATGACATCTAAATACTTCATGATAATGTCGATTCCATTTTTAAAAAAATATATAATATCTGTTTCTTATAAAAACGTTTTTCAGTCATTAAGAAGGCCTTCTTATCGCCGTGTTATCTTGTTAAATATTTCTAACATATATCACCGTTTTTTTTTTTTTTATGGTTAACTGGCTTTGATTCTCGGTATTTTTTTTTTCTGTGGAAATGACATAAAATATTTAAAAACAGGCACTCACTTTACTTCTTCATAAAACAGAATGAAAAACCAGAAATCGGGAAAATAACAAGGAGTAAAATTAATAAATCAATATAAATAAAAAAAAAATTGATAGATTAATTAATTTATCTATTTCAAAATATAATCTCGAGGTATCCGAATTAAATGTATTAAATATTTTTTATATTTTCTTTTTTCTTTTTTTTTGGGGGGGGGGTGTTGAAATAAAATCATTAGCCATTTTTCGGTAGAGGGCACGTAATCATTATTTTGAAGATGGCTTTAAACACCCCCACCCCCCTTCATTTGCCTTTTTTCGCAAGTTTTCTCATCTGAAAAGAAACCGTCCGATAAATCAGGTCAGACACCTCTCTACTATATTTTCTATCACCTATCAGACATTAAGCTGGTATTAATTAGTTACATGTAAATACAAATTAATGACACAACGTAAATATAATATGGAGAATGCCTTCAGAGTAATGTTTTCTCAGACTAATAGATGTGATATTTTTTAGGATGTATACATACATCCTAGTTGTTATCCTTGATCGAAAACCCCGATCGCATGACTATGGTCATCAGATTTTCGCTCACAATACAGCACGCGTAAATCTACGCGCGTGCTGAAGTGATGCGATTGTTTTATCTGATAAACCTAATTATATGAGGTATCTGTAAATCTAGGATTATATGTCGGTAATGGGTTTCATTTTCTGAACCTCTGTTGGTTGTTCAAAGCATGAATAGTTCTGGATTAATCAACAGAAAAAGAATTTGTCGCGAACCAAAAAAGAAAAGGATAAAAAGATAGAAAAGAAAATTGAAGGATGTTTACATGTGTCAGTTTGATGTAGCAATATATTACTCTCTCTCTCTCTCTCTCTCTCTCTCTCTCTCTCTCTCTCTCTCTCTCTCTTAAAATAGATTGACAAAGAGAAAAATACGGGTTGATTTGTTGAAAACAAGTATGTTTAAATTTCTTCCGATTACATATCGACCGCTGTGTCGTTCAACCACTGTTGTAAATTTTACCTTTATATTAATTGCTACTCCGAAGCCCCCCGAATAAATATATACATGTACTTGAAGTGTTTAATGATATATCAATTTTACGACACCGCGGTGCATTTTAACATTGTTAATGCATGCAATAAAAGTGCTTTGAAATGAATTTTAACATCCTCAATGTACATTATGTACTACACTTACTTTGAATTAAGTTTTAGTAACAAAAATGTATGTAACGTGAAGATTGGAGATGTATTCATATCAATTCATTTAAAGGGTCATTGAAATTTATGAAAATGTACAACCCATTTCCCCTTTAAATAGTTCGTCTTTCAAACTACGCCCTTAGAAATCTTATATCCGCTCCTTTTATTGAGTGACTATCTACAGTATGTTGATCTATATATCTCTGACGTGTACTGTATATATGCAGAATCATGCCATTGGATTTGACATTAAAACCACTGCGATAAGAGTATTTTACAATTCAAAAGGCGCAATGGTTGTTTCCGAAATAAATAGAATGAAAAAAACAAAAGACAAAACCGCATATTTGAATAAAGATAATTTCATCTCAATAACAGATTTTTTTTTAATAATTGAGTAGAATTTTTATTTAAATTATATATATATTTTTTAAATTTCTGTCCTAATATATGCATTATACACGCTAACTGACCCTGGCAACCGCTCTTCAAGGCAATTGACAACTGAAGATATTCTCTATCTCGAATTGAATTACAAAAACACAAATGCACAACGCATTGAGACCGATAAATCTTAAAGTAAAAAGTATTAGAAAGTGTTTCACATCGCAGCGAAACGACACGTGAAGTAGAAGGAGAGCGATGAAATTAATTAGCTGTGACATATTTATTACACCCAGTAATTAGAAATGCTGCAGATTTCACAGTTCTGGATTATATAATTACGTAAAGAATTCCACAGAGAGAAAAATAGGAGAGAGAGAGATGGGAGAGAGAGAGTAACTTTTTAGATTTCATAATGACTATCTCTTTGATTACGGATTTGTGTACGCGAGCACTTGTTTGCTTTCTTTCAAGGTAAAATTAATTTATTCTAAGCATTAACAATGTGCATCAAATTAAACTTTATATTCATAGACGATGTACTGTATAAATAGCATACTTTGTTGTTTTCATAACAGTCGACATTATGTACAAGATTATAAAAATCTTATTCAGTTAAGAACTAAGAACATAAAAATTTAAGAGAAAGAAAGAGGGGAGAGAAAAAGAAATTGGGAGAGAGAGGGGATGGGTTGAGAAATACCAAAATGACAGGAAAAGAGAGAGAGGGAAAGACAGACAGAGAGTGGGGAGAAATACAATTTAATATAAAAAAAAAATGTTCTGGTATACTTACATAAAGTCGCATCCCCTTTATCAATAATATCCTTGCATTTTTCAACTAATTCCGCCGTAGTTCCTCCGGAAAATCCGGTCTTATCTCCACAGTTCTGGTCAGCTCTGGCGAAAAAGATCAAAAGTCCGACCCCTAACACCAAACATACCACCAGAAAAAGAATTAAAATCCCCACATATAGCGAGATAAAACACCCCTTTCTGCTGCTACCCGGTGTTAACTCTGCATCGCTATTATACTTCGCCATGTCTGTAAAGTCAAAAGATTCGGCTTTGCCCATAGCGAAAGTTATCCGTACACGCAGATCTCATCCCATCCGAACCGCGTTCACTGTAAGGGGCTAAAAGGGTTTCGCTCTTGGGTATTATAATGGACCTGACACGTATTTTAAAGAGGTCGTGAGATTTTGATTGCGATTTATCACAGGTTTATTATTCCGCTGGGAATGTCTTTTAAATGATAAAATTTATGTGAAATCCTGCAGAGCAATATCTTAAAATGTTTTAGAATATTTTGGAAATTCCCGTTGAAACATTATTCTCTGTTTACGCAATGTAAATAATGATCATTGAAGGTTAAGAATGTTTTGTAATTAATTAAGCGCACTTTTCGCGGTTTTATATGTAGATTAGGAGTCGTAGGCCTACTGATGATCAAAATGTTGTTTAAATATTTGGATTCACGAAATGTGTGAAAAATGTACTTTACGTAAACAGTTCATACAAAGGAGGTGTAAATAATATTCATGTTTGTGGTATATATATATGCATACATTTGAAAGTCATTTACACATCAATGCACTCTGGTGCAGAGATTCCGTAACACTCAGAACATTTCTTTTTTTTTTTTTAATGAGAGTGTACATGTAGCTGATCACATATTCATTACTTAAATATACATGAAAACTTTACATACCTGAAGTTAACTCTATAATTACATCAAGAAATATTTGAAGAAATGATACATGTAACATCCGCTTCCCCATTCCGAGCGATAAAAATCAAACCTGGTCGAATATAATCCAGTTAATTTTTCCAGACTTCTAGACAACGTTAATTAATATTATGTATAATTAATTTTTAGAGCAATGCTGTTTCGATGAATTAATAATTGAGCATTTGAAGAAGAGTTTTTTTTTTTTTTTTTTTTTTTTTTTTTGAAGGGAATCTCTTTTTAGATGTGTGTGTGTTAAGGGTGGGGTTTGGGTTGGGGGGGGGGGTGCCTTCTGATTCGTTTTATAAACGTTAAAATTATAGACTCTAAATTTGCTTCTCAACAAAATGCACCTAACAGTCTCCTGCTTTTTTTTTCACCAATGATCATTATTATTCCTAATGTTTAGGATTCAGGCAAGTGAAAGACTAGCATAAGCAAATTTTGCTGTCAGGGAATTGATATAAACATTGTTTGTATGCACGTCGGTCATGCATCGTTGTTTTTGTCATTTACGTAATGGAGGGCAAAAAAAAAAATCATTTAAATAAAAATGCCTCGTGCCTTTTTACTGCATTCAACTTACACGAAAGAAGGTTGTGAAAAAAATATATTGCAAAGGATTTTTACGCTGCAGAGTCGTTTTAAAAAAATCTTATTATTTCTTGAACAGCTGCTTCATAAAACGTAAATGTATATGCCGCCAACGTTTCAGTGCATTTCTATGTAAAAAAAATATTTGTAAATGTGTTCAGGAGCGGACATTTTAGTCAATTTGTTGTTTTTTGAAAATTGATAATTAAGCGTGTGGTTAGGGAAGTTTTGTAAAAAAAAAAAAAAGAATTCCGAATTTTATATGTGTGATGCAGTTGTTAATGTTCAAGAGTTACGAAGCAGTGAGTTGATCCTTATATTGAACGTGTGTCGCGGGTTCGAATCCCGAATCGGTACGTTGAGACCGGTCGTTCGAATAAGACCTAAATGTCCAAACTGAGGTCCCGTATTGCAGTAGGTACTGACAGGAAAAAGATTCCTCACTGATGAATGGCTCTGGATGCCGAGTACTGGTATAGATTTGCATTTAGTCCCATCTTGTAAGTGGTAGCGTCTAAATTCGAACGAAAAAAATTTACGAAGAACGTAAAACAAGAAATAACCTATTTCCTGCATAATCCGAAGTTTACCTCCATTGCATGTAAATTGTACATATACTAGAAAAAGGCCTCAATATCTGTATATTCAATACGGTAAAAAACAAAAGTAACTCCATTTTACACAGAATTTAACATCCTGTATTCGAAGGTTTCTTTTTTTCAGTTTGTCGGTAATGTCCGCTAAAAAAAGAGTGAAAGTAAATTATAGTTTTAAGTGATTTAATAATGCATTATACATTTTTACTACATAGAACACATACCAAATGTATAAAAGTAAAAAGTTCTAGGATTTTAATACAATATGAATATTTTCTACAATAAATAAGAGACAATATTACAAATTTAAGAGCACATTATTTCTCGTCATAGAGTTATCGTTCGTCCTGTATACAACAAGAGTTATCGTTCGTTCTTATGCCGAAAAACAAATCTCTATTCCAACAAAATCTGGCAATTTCCAAGAAATAGGGCAAGTTAATTATTTCTACTCAATTTCAGCTTAATATATTTTTTAACAATCAATAAAGAAAATACAATCATATAGATCTATATAATTTTTTTTTTGAGGTATAAGTTACAATGTGAAAAAATAAAATAAAATAAAATATTTTCTCGCTACACATTATCGGGCGTAGCGGTTCTTTTCTCTGTTTTGAAAGGAGCGACAACTCAAAAACTGAATTAAATTTTTCAAAGAGGAAACCCAAATCAGGTTACCTCTCTTGGTACAGAAATCTGACATTGGCCGATGTAAATTTCAAATGAAGTCTGGAATGCCAAAGAGGTAATTACCCCTTGCCACCCTTTCATTTGAAACAAAATACTCTATCCAAAGCATTTCGAACACTTCTCTTGTGATGTTCTTGCCCTGAAAAAAATATGTTCGTGATAAAAGAGGAATATATGTATCCTAATACTATATTCAAAAGATAAAAAATAGTAAATTCCTGCTGAATTTATGACAAAAAAAACATAAAGGAAGACTTTATATTTATCACACAATGACTAATCCTCTTGTTTACTTTACAGGCGCGGATCCAGGAATTTTTTCCAGGGGGAAGGGGGGGGGGGTCCAACCCAGTCAAAAATAAACCCAATCCCAGAAATTTCTTGACAAGCAAAAAAAAAAAAAAAAAACAACACCAACAAAATACCGTTTCGGGGGGGGGGGGGGGGGGGGGGGGGGAGGGATTCTTTGACTTCTATTGCCTCTGACTTCTATTCCCGAAAATCTTTCACTTTCATAACCATTTCACACATAATCAAGTTTACCAGCGTTTTCCAAGGGGGATCCAAGGTAACTTTTTTTCTTGCTTTAGCATATACATTTTTAACCTTGTAATTCCAGGGGGGTCCTGACCCCCCCGACCCCCCTCTAGATCCGCGCATGCTTTAGATGGCTTGCTCGTATAAGACCAAGGAGCTCTTATAATTACTAGCATCACTGAAAATATGTCACTTAATTTTTGTCATTTTAAATCTCTGACAGTCAAAATATGTTTGACAGACAAAGAAATGGGCAGGTACAATTGAGAGCGGGCGCCCGAGAAAGCATCGAATTTCTAGTTTGAAATACCATCTTGAGCAATCCAACTTATCTACGGTCGTAAGCAAAGTGTTATTGATTAATCCATACGACAACTAATTTCGATTTCAGTTTTTTTTAATTCGCATAGAACAGAATCCCCAAAATGATATTAAATTTCAAACTAGAATTTATATACAGAGGGTGTTGCAGTTATTTTGTTTTTTTCCCCTAAATGTGTTGCATATTAAAAGAAAAAAATTATGTTACAGAAACTGATATTAATTTTTTTTCCAAATACAACAGTACATGTATATAGAGCACAATGAGGAACAATATTTGGAAGCTGTGTATTGACTTCCAATTTGAGATAAAATGAAGGTTATATTCAGACTGCTCTTTCTGTGCCGACAACTGTGCCGTAAAAATCGCCTCAAAAATGCCCGATCCTCCAATGGAAAAATCACTGTCAAAGACAATCGCAATAAGTATCATCACATCAGAGACGAATCAGACTTAGTCAAATTCGGACATGAAATCCAGGAGGCAGTGTAGGTGTTTTTTCCCGCAAAATCCTCTAATGACAAACTTTCAACCCTTTCTGACAAGTATTTCAATATGACCTTAAAAATCAAATGTCATTCATAAGAATAGCTACAATCTAATCTATTTTTTTATGATTTAGATTATACCAACATTATCCAAAACTTCTCAAATCCCTATACCTATGCATTATTTGCATCTCTTGTTCATTCAATTCTGTATATACATTTTGGTTACTTTGTATATCCACTCCGCAACTTGTTTTTGTGAAGATACCATTTCGACTAATGTGTACTTTAACCGTTTTCCCACAAATTTATACCTTTTAAACACATTTACACAATGTTCGTGTTCCTTTATTTATAAAACTTTACAGTATATTATTATTTACGTTATCTCTATGTATATATTCATTTTCCATTTGTTTTTCCTGTTTATTTTGTCTTTGTGTTACACGTTCTATTATTTTTTTGTTAATATTTTGAACCATGCATTATATCCTAAATTTCTTAGCCATGCAAACAAATATGTGTATTCAGCTACTGTAGTTTTGGAATGTGTCATAAATTTAGCAGCTACCGATTGCAGCTTTTTGTTTAAAATATACTTTTATCACAAGGTAGATAATGGGTAACTCCATTGAACAATATCGTGCTGCAATCGGTCTTTTTTATTTATCTGGCAGATGTACATCAAAAACATGTTTATGGTCGTTTTTTTCCATGCGCATGTTCTTTGCAACTAACGAAAAATGTTTTTAGAAAACTTGCTCATTGCTTAACATCCATTATCCTAAAATCTGCGTACATCAATTTTTATTTACAATTTTTCACCTTTGTTCTATTGGCATGTGGTGTCAAGAGAAATACTTTACTTTGAAACTGCTGGGAAACATTGAAAGTTAGGCGCTATAATGCAAAAATGACCACGATGTACAAAATTCATAATGGTAGTGTACCTGAATACTTTTAAAAATGACATTGTTCCAAACAAGCGTGGAAACATTTCTAAATATAATACCCGTAGTTAGGAACAATACGCTGCCCCAAGATGCAGATTAGAATTATATAAAGGTCTTTTATTCCCGACGCTGTGAAACAGTGGAATTTACTAAAGACAGAAACAAGGGAAGCTATCTCACTCAATGCATTTCGAAAAAACCTAACTACAGAAGTAAAAAATCCCCCAATGTATTTCTCATTTGGCAAACGTTATTATATAAATATTGCATGTAGTTGAGTGTAACATTGAATGTTTTCACCCCAAGAAAACTATTGTCAACCGAGGCGCAGCCGAGGTTGACAATGGTTTTCGAGGGGTGAAAATTTTCAATGTTACACTCAACTACATGCAATATTTATTATATTATACTGAATGTTTTATACAAAAACATATTACAGTAAACCGTGCGCGCATAAATTCCGCGCAGTCGCTATTTTTTGGAATACCACCCGTCGTCAAGCAATGTTGACTGTTGCTACACAGGAGGGCGTGGCTTCATTATTCAGCGGGTAGTAGTGTTTTTTATCAAATGTTTCTCGACGAATCAGATTCAAGTAATTTACATGAAAGTATAATATACCAATATAATCCATACTAAACTTAAACACAACTGTATACTTAACTATGATTTACATAGAAGAAATATTATTGATAACCCTTTATGTTCATGTGGAAAGTATGAAGATGTTTATCATTTCTTTTTTTCCTGCAGAAATTATCCAAACGCTAGGAATAATCTTTTTAATCGCCTGTTTTACTTGACGAATTGGTCAATATTGACACAAATTTGTTATTATGTGGTGATCTAAATTTGCCTGTTGAAACAAATACATGTATTTTTGCTGCTTTACATAAATTTATTGACGAATCCTGCAGATTTTAAATTGTTATATTTCACTTGTATCTCTTTTGCATTTAAATTTCTATGTACTACATGTATTTTAATTGCATGACATATAGTTATACATGTATTTAAGGAGAGGAACTCATAAGTTGAAAGAACTTGTTTCCAATCCTTTTGTTTATACAATAAAATATGTTCAAAACAAAACAAAACAAGGTTATATTAGTCTCACAACAAAATATATAAGATTTTCCGTTTTTTAGATAGGGAATCCCCATTATTCTGAAAAATTGCCTCCCTGAAACAAAATAATTTTGATAGATCTCTGAAGCACAAAGAGGCAGGAATTTTCTTCAAAACACATTTTTGAAAAACGCAAAAATTGAATAAGAATTATTCTCCATATGGAATACAGAATGTGTACATTAAATAAGAACAGTTTACTATCGTGTCCGAAATGGCCCAGTGGACATACTGGTGGACTACTTTCTATTACTTTTAACCAGAGCATGGGTTCGAATCCTGGTGTGGAAATTTGCTATGGAAATGCAATTACATGTACATGTATATATGTATTTGAATAGAAAGTGTGCGTGCACGGGGGCGCGCGCGCGAGAGAGAGAGGGAGAGAGAGAGAGAGAGAGAGAGAGAGAGTCAAGAAGTTAATGGATAACTATATATTAAACTTGCAGGTTTAAATTGTTTTCCTTGGTATACTGTGACTTAAACCTTAATGGGGCCGACTATAGTTTTATTGTGTGAAAACTACAATAGCGAAACTCGTCATTTTTATACCATATATAACTTACATTAACTTCAGTGTACATGCAAAGTTTGGGGGAAATCTACCGTCCAGGTATTTTTGAGGGACCGTCTCAAAATACAGGTACATTTACTATAGAATTGTATAGGAAAATGCCAATTTTTAGCACTTTACAGCAAATTATACAAATACTACAATAGACATTTTGTTCAAACTATAATATTTGATGAGTAATACTATATTATACAATATATGTAAGAAACACAAAATTCTACCGTCTTGTTACCAGAGGGGGCATCTCAAAATGCAAGAAATTAGCAAATTTTACTATTTTTATAGAGTATTACAAAATATGACGTACGCAATGGATTCACATGAAAACATGATAAAAATATTGGAGATATTCTCAAATTACTATGTTTTAAATTTCAAGAGCGTATGTTTATTACTTTTTCCTTAATAATATTTTTTTTACCCCTTTCTTTAAGAACTACAGATTATCATAACGTCAAATACACACTGCAACGACGTCAACCTACCTATCAATTGCAAAATCGGTTAAAAAATCAGTTATATCAAATTGTAAAAACATTTTTATACCTATAATTTCTTAATTTTGTTTAATTTTAATAATTAAGCAAAAAAAGTTGCATTAAAACAGTAAATACGCTTCATTTTACTAAGATGCGCGAAATATTGCGCAATGGAAACTATAGTCGGCCCCCTTAAATGATATAATGCTTTATTTAGTTTTGTCTTGGAAATTAAAGTATTGTTTAAATAATTAATTTTTTTTTACATGCAGTTGTTTACTCATTTTGATTTATATTCAGTCTGTTATTTAGTAGCCAAGATTTGATTTGAAACAAATGGAATGTCTTGGATGTAGCACAAACAGTGTGATTATGGGGCATTTTATTTCATGAAAAATATTTTTGCACGATGTCTACAGTATACTGAGTATCTTTCAAAATGCTGTGCAGGGTGCACCAGCCATTGTGGTTTTTATTGTTCTAACCTTTCTCGTACAAAATCGCGATAGTGGTACACATGATTTTAAAAAAAATTAATAAAATATAATGGTTAACTTTCACTAAAAAGTTACCAATCAGTTCCTATATAAGAAAAAACTATGCATTAATTATATAAACCTAAACTGTGAAGAAGCGGGGAATATCCACCGTAGTCCTCTACGTACATGTAGCTGCATCTATATTTAGACATGTATTTAATGCCCTTCTCGATACATAATGGGAATAATCGCGAGTTACTGCAACATCCTCTTTCAAACTAGACTTTTAAGCCTTTTTTCTATGACGTTCGTGTAGAACTGTACCCAAACAATTTATTGTTTATCATTAAAAAAATATTGACTGTAACAGAACGAAATGATATAAGCTGTATATTTCTAATATTGCATATTAATTCAAACGTTTCTTGGTTTACAGATACACATATATGTACTTGTTTTGTAAAGCAATGAAGGTAAAACTAATTATTAATTGTTTTAACTGCGCAACATTACATTGCATCAAATATTAGGTTTTCCCTCACACCCCATCCACATTTGTGTTCATTCCATGGTTTGAATGAACACATTCTTACTGTACCTTACCTCTGCACTAGTGATTCCATACAAGTTGGCCGGATAAAACAAGTTTACGAGAAATACAATAATTTTTAAATTGAATTTGCTTAAAGCCAGAGAGAGCAATTTAAACTTATCATATTAGGCAGGATTTTATAATACACTACACCCAGGTAGACAAGTTTCACTGTATACAAAATGATAACCTACATCAGATATCTTGTGGAATGCTTGACGACATTCCTCTATGGGGATTCCATATGATTGATTCCATACTGTCGTATACTCGTCTATATCAATTTCATTATCACCTAAAATGAAGGTTTTAACATAATCATAAAACATGATAACTTTTTGCATGGTATTATTCATAAATCTAATTTAAATAAGAAGTTCTGAATCCGCTACTTGTTCTTGAACATCTAACAACTTCCTCCTTGAGGATATAAATCAGAGCGACCTTTCGCTTATCCAATGAAATTGCCGCCTTCAAAATATTCTTTTAAAGTTCTGATCTCTGTTTCTAACTTTTTTTTTGCTGCCAAAACTTAACGCCCATGAAGTTCGTCGTAGACAAGATATGCATGGTAAACCAGAAAAGGCTGTGCTTTATATGAATATGACGAGCGGGATATATTGTATAGATTTTGCATCTTTCATTAAGGAATGTCAGATACATACGCTTAATATGTTTCTACCAAAATTACTTAAAATCAACGCTAGGCAGACTACTGTGAAATTGCAATATTTATATTTAACCAAGAAATGAATTTCAGAATCATATGCAGAAGCTTAAAAATGTGATTGACAAAAATATTTGTCTGTTTATATCTATCAAAAGATTGCTCTGACGTCATCCAGAATAGGATGTTGATAGATGTTTGAGAAGTTTTGAAAACATTAGTGGATTTGGAAATCTAATTTTGATTGTCTGTTATTTATAATTATTGGAAAACAAAACCCTAAGAGAATTAATAAAGTGGAATCTTTAACAGAACGATATAAGAAGCCTGAATAATAATGAAAAATATGCAACGTTATAAAAGAAAAAAACACGTATTTTAATAATTGTTCACATTTATAATTAAATAATATAGTACCAGACCTGATTTATCATTCACTTCAAACATGAACTGCATGAACCTCTGCTGCCATTCTGGAAAAGGTTTTCCGTGTTTGACTGACTGTAGACAATCACTCCACATCTGAACCCATTCATCTTTAGAGACCTTATCATCCTGAAAACAGGACGAAAAGAGTGCATTGTTGAATTTTGATTGATTGATAGATTGATTGATTGTATGTTGTTGTATGGTTTTAATACCATATCGGGTTCAAATTTAGAACCAAATTAATTCCATATCCGTTTAAAGACAGTAAATTGAGGGGATTCTAAATTCTAAATCATAATTATGTTTATCCCGACACAAGAAACCAATGTTTCTTGCATGTACTTCTAATGCCGAGGGTTCTATATACGTTTACGTCATAGTTTGTGGCAACGCGGCGAACGACATTTGTACCGCGCCTCCCGATAGAGTGCGCGCGCAATTTGAGTCTTTCTGTCTGATATTTGGGGCTGCCATTTCAATAGTCGTTAAGTACGGTAGCTCAGTCAGTCAAGCGCTCGCTCCACGATCCTGTTGTTTTGGTTTCGATCCCCGGCCGGGACTAACCTACGTAAAATATAGAAAGTGAAAGTGGAGTGTCTTTCGACTGCGACCTTTTATATCGGGCCCCATAATTTAACACTCAGGGCAATTGTGAAGTGATGACTAGCATGCCAATAGTCCCGGTTAAAAGGAGCATTGGTTTAAAAGGTCTCCAAAAGACCTAGCTGCAGAACTCTAGCTCTCCGAAAAATATATTGAATATTTATTGCGCACAAGAAGTTGCGCATGTGTATGGATTAATTTTTCCAAATTCTTACCCCAATTGCAAAAAAATTAGATTAAAAAAAAAATCCATACTCTTCTATCAAGTACTTTCGTATTTGACATGTACACGAAGCGCATGGGGCCGAATAACCTTACAAACCAAAATGACTGTATAAACAGACGAAATTTTCGATGATCTCGATTTCAGGGCCAGGAGGGCTATAAACAACAACTTTAAGGTCTGTTTTGTTGTTGAAACAGTGAAAGATTGTGTGAGGAATACACGGTTAGTAATAATTTGAGATTATAGTTTTAAAAACGTGGAGAAATAAATCGATAAACAGCGCACTTTTTTGTGCGCAATAAATATACAGCTTTTACAGTGGGTGGCACTGTAGCTCTCCAGTCTGTCAAATTATTTTTTTCGGAGAGCTACAGATCTGCAGCTACAAAAGCCCCACAATTTCCACTCCAAAGAGCCGAGAGCGAGTATAATTGATATCTACTAGTATTTAATATAGAGTACTAAATGAACATGCAGCTATAATTCGAACACCTTCGGATCACGGAGCGAATGCTCTACCGAATGAGCTACCCTGACGACTCCTGACATCGACGTAACATATTTATATTTTACATGTAATCATACTTCATTTACATTATTTTCCCGAAGAAGGATATGGAGATAACGAACAGTATTCAATCTCAAAGTCAATAAAACAATACAAAATAAGAGCAGAGCATGAAATTTTAGTCTTAGTCGTGAAGCCGTAAGATTTCTTGTGAAAAAGGCCACTGCACATCCCTACTAGATTCCTACTAGATCATTTATTAAGATGCCTTTAACAGAATTTGATTTTTAGGATAAATATTGTCCAAAACCAAATCTAGTCCTTACTGCAATTTATTTTTGCAATTATTTTCAATTTGTGCCGAGTTATTTAGTTATTTACAATAACTGAATATAATTTCCCTTTTTTGAAGGCCTTTGCCGTCAAGAAGACCTTAAAGGACACTAAGGAAGCCACCTGCTTTGATTTCTTGAACAATGGCTTTTCATCAGTTATGCATTCCATGACAAATACGTTTATAATACAATATTTTACATATTTGATTTTTACTTAGAATGTTTTCAGATACAGATGAAACAAAAATAAAAATGTCTGTCTTCTGCGAATACGGAATTCAACGTAGTAGCAATTGCAACAAAAAAAAATTATAAATCGCTGACGCGGGTTATAATTCTTTTTTTTCTGTAACAGCTGCGACATTCATTCCCCTAATACATGTAATTAACAAAGAAAAAGCATTTTATTTTTTAGATACTGTCTACCACCTTCTCTCTCTTTATCAACGATGTCAATAACCCATTCACCTGATTTTCGTCGGCGTATTTTTTCAGATCGTCCCATATCAAGAGAAGCGTTTCTTTCCCTTTGTTGTATTGTTCTCCATCCTTAGGCCATCCGAGACTGTTACAGAATTTCTGCAAAAGAATTCATAGGTTTATTAAAATATTATAGCAAAATTGTCATTTTCTTCCTTGATATGAAAGTCAATTCTAGTGATAAGTCTCCGAGTCTCAGAGGTCAATTAAATTTTTCAAAAATGATGGTCATCAATGGCCAATGGCCGAAATAATCTTCTCTTAAATGAAATATTTTTCAAATCTCATTAAAATTTATTAAGATGAATGCAGTATTTTCATTTAACAATAGGAACAATCATACGATTACAAAACATAGCTAGACAAGAACAGGTTACAGTTCAACAACAATGGTTTCTTTTGCTACTAAGCATCAAAATCTTTTTAGACAAACATTTTGGCTGACTTTGGAAAACATTTCCTGAATAAATGTTGATTAAACTGAATTTTTTTTCGAATCTTGGCTTGATGAAAATGTTGTTCATACTGAAATCTTGATGATATGGAATTGATTGTCTTTCCAGGATTATACATTTGTTACTAAAAGTTTTCCTCATGTGTTTTGTTTTTCTTGATGCATTTCTACATGTAATAAAACTTTTCCGGATATATTTGAATTCTGAAAATGCGGGAATAAACGGTATCAAAGAGCAATATTTTTTTGAAAATTTCGAATTATTAGTATTATACTTAACTGTCGAAAATGCTATTATTTTGGTCAAGAGAAGCATTTAGAAGTTTCTTTTATTTCTACGATGGGTTTTGATAGTTAAACAAAGACGTTGGTTAATTAATATTTGAGTTTTGAAATGCGTCAAAGAATAAATCTGTTTTTCTTATTTTCTTCAAAATTTCAAATATTTCCATAATCAATAAACATATGCAACGATGGTTTATGATTTTTTTGCTTATCAAATGGGAGATCTCAAAGCGGGAATTTTCAAACACTCAAATTTCTGTGATTTAAGGCAAGAAGATTTTTTTATACCCCCGCTTGAAAAGTGGGGAAAAGTGGGAGGGTTTATTGTAATCGGTATATCCGTCGGTCCGTCCATCTATACGTCTAGCTGTACTCCGTTCGTCTGTTACGCTTTAGGGTACCCATGTCTTATCCACAACTCCTGTTATACCACTGAGTGAAATTTAATGAAATTTTCACAGAATATTTATACCATATAAATTGTCATTGTGCACCTCCAATTTTACTTTTTGATCCGACACATGTTTTGGGTTTCCCAGCCACAGCGAAACATGGACTTTGTCATCAGTTATAACCATATGGGAGGCGGGGGTATAATTTACTGAGCTTACTGCTCACAATATCTCTAGTTTTGTTTAAACTTATACATCGTTTATGAAATTAAGTGTGCAGTTACATTTACTAAAGAAAGAAAACAAAACTAAACATAGTTCCAGTTGCATGCATGCATTCACTTTTTTCTTAAAATTCAATTTCTCCGAACTATCCTTCTTAATTAAAAACAGATTCAGTTGTTACAACCCTGAGATATTGATTTTTCAACAACCCTGAATTAATGAGCAATAAACATTAAGTTCAATCCTAAGTCATCAACATTGAACAAACTATAAACAATGTTTTATTAAAAACTTAACGATGGAAAAAAAGTTAATGAGTTCCTTTCTTGAAGAAGTGCGTACACAGGTACTTTTGTTTGCCATGAAATCTTTATTTCCACAACGTAATGCTTATGAAATGGCTATTGATTTACAAATATTTAAAACACAGTCTTAATAGTACTTGTATATTGTCTGAAAAAATATACAGTACTTTCAAGTAAAATTATTTACATTTGCCGATGACTTTCCTTATGTCAAATGAATACTAATGAAAGAAATTGAAATTCGTTTTTAATATATACAGTAATTGGAAAGTTCTAAGTTGTGACGTCACATAACGTTGTAGGTATGTCATGTTGCGTTTCCATAAAACAGTTAAATAAGTGCCAATTTTTCCTTGTAAGAAATGGTAATTATATGTATAGACCATACATGTATGTAATGAAGTCGGCTAATGATCAAATATATACTATAACGCCCGACGTGCATTATAGAATTTTATTATGTGACCAATTTTATGTCAAATCTAAATGACGCTTTAAAATGATATCTAATTCCTTTGAAAAAAAAAAACCCATAAAAACACACAAAAATCGTACTTGTTGCGAGTGTAAGCTTTATATTCCCTACTTATTTACTTATTTATTTAATTTTCCATATTATTATCGTAGGTTATAAGAAAACAGCGGTTGATGGATCTATGTACATGTTATTGGTAATACATGTATTTAAGGATTTATTTTCATTAAATGCTGAAAAAGAAACAGGGGGTTGGGATATAAAAAATATCAAAACTTTCTTATATGCACACTAACCCCTACTTTTCATGCTATGAAAAGGAGCCATAATACCTAAAGAAACTGTACAACAATTTTCTTAAAAAGTTTAATTGTAGAAATATGTTTTTCTTTGGTTTTTCGAGCAATTTTATAGGGGAAAATGTGCCTAATTTTTACATGGGTGAACAACATTTTTGGGTACAAGTTATCTATTTGGTATTTAATTGCTTATATTTTGCTTAAAAACCAACTTTGCAATACTTTCAAGTAAATTTAAGCCAAATTAAGTTTTAATTCACTGTATTTATAAGTTTTATGAGGTATTTTATGGTCTAGTAGCATTTTTAATTAAATTCCCCATGCTCTATTTTGGCCTATGTTCAAAGGGTTGAATCTCTCTTAGATGAACACCAACATACACTTTTCTTGTCTTTAAATTATTCCTTGGATATAACACTTTCAAAAAAATATCAGCATTTGGAAAGTTTAATGCACGTTTTTTTCCGCGTATCATAAGAATACATCCTTAAGGACTCTGACGGAAAAAAAAATGTCTTTTGCAAGCATTAGATATTTAAATTGAGTGAGTAAACTTTGTTTTGTAAAATTAGATTAGAATATGATTTAAATGAAAAAAAAAAATTTGATCACAAACAAAAAAAAAAAGTTTAAAAATATGCAATAAAAGAACGTTTTACATTTACCTCCATAGTATATTAATAACTTCAAGTATAGGTATACTTTTCCTAGCTTTCAGTTTGTCAACCATTGTCAATGAACAAAAAAAAAAAAATGTACTTGCACGGAATTTCATCTAATCCATACTGTATGCAGTGTTAAACTTATTCGATTAACAAGAAGTCCTACATTTGCGCTGAACTTCATTCAGTGCGGATTCAAAGTTAACATGATACAGAAGGATGCATCTCCGAGGGAATGAAAGAGCTTCTGTGACATTAAATATTAAACTGTCTGACTATATAGTATTTCGTTAAAGAAAGGGGTTGAATAATGACGATATTCAAATTTATTTTTTTAAAAACTTAGAAATTCCGATTTGCTTTCGTTAAAATACATTTGATTTCTAATTGCGACTCTATCAGAATAAGTTTTTTTTCGCCTATCCATGTTAAATGAAGTTCACCCTCAAACTGTTTCTTTATTGCTTTTTACATGATTCCAAAGTTGAGTTTTTAATGCTAAATATTTTTAATGGTCTTTTTGTCCTTTGACAATTAAAATTTGCACCGGCAGATACACTTGTGAATGATAATCAGTATATGTTCCTTGTTTTCAGAAAACTAGAGCATCATAATCATGCAAAAGTTCTGTTATATTAATAGAATGCTAATAATTTCATCAGGATTCCAACAGAGTGAAAATGACTATTGCAGACGGGGCGTTCATAGCATGTTGATACGCATCATTGAATACTGTAAAACGAAGCGGAATTCAAAGAGATGTTTCTATATTGATTGCAATAAACTATTAATAATTAACTTCAGCTTAATTTTGTTGGCCATTGTGGTAAAATTAATGGAATTTCGCTGCAGGTAAATTGTTGTTCAATTAATTTGATTTTTTTTTCTTTTATCTATATATGATTGACAATAATTTCATTTAATTAAAGGATCAGTTATCTTCCACGCAATTTGCATAGTATGTAGGCCACTATTCGACCAAGCACTTTCTATCAAAGCATTCACTTTCATTTAATAAGAATACACTTTTTAGATTGATCGATTGTAAAAAAGAAATACCGTACATGTGTTAACATGCATTAATTGATTGCCGGGAGTCAGCATCAGATTATGCCCTTTCAGTGATAAATAGGGCTCGGTTAAAAGTATCGCTATTTCTGTATGCTGCAAATCGTAGACAAAATAGATCGTGTTGTAAAACGTTTTATTTTCCTGGATCTATATCCATTCAAATACTTCGGCATGGAGTTGCTAAAGTGTATTATGAAATTTAGGATGCCAGAAACAAATTTAGTCGTGACAAACTGGGTTGCTGTTGTTAAGGCGATTTTATTTGCACAACTTTTGTTACATGTTTATGTGCATGATAGTTACATGTATAAATACACTAAGCTTATATATGGAGGTTAATGCAATAGAATATAATATAAACTGTTATTGAAAATATTGCAATAAACTTTTCAACATTACCTGTATATTGCAGTACGAAATTCCCAGTACAACTTTAGTTATGTATTTTTACTCAATTTTAGTAGCTCTTGATCATACACTGCATGATTTTTGAAACCGAAATATGCGAGTAAAATAGTCATATGCTGAACATTTCTGAAAGTTTATATTTTTTCAATTGTTATAATTCTAAGTAGAGGGATATATTTTAAAGTCAAGGATATTAGTGAGAAATATGAGAAATTTTCTCTCGTAATTTTTTTTTTTCAGTAGAAATATCATACAGCATATACGTCTAAACATGCAAAACAAAAAAAGAATATAAAGTAACTTTTTAAAGTTATCTATAATTTAAGACTAAATTCCAAATATCCCTTGAGATTTACACATGCTTAAAAGTATTGAAAATGAAAATTACTCTTAAAACCTATTATCTATAATATAAGCCTAAATAGCAAATATATCCTGCGACCCATGTCTAAATATTAACAAAAGTAAAACTAATCTCTCAAAATACGTACATCAATGGCAATAAGGAAATCGTCTTTTGCTATAACCCCGTCGTCATTTCTGTCTGTGAAAAGAAAGTAGAACAGATGATTGATAAAGGGAACAAAGTGCAAAAAGAAAGTAGAACTGATGATTGATAAAGGGAGCAAAGTGCAAAAAGAAAGTAGAACTGATGATTGGTAGAGGAAACAAAGTGCAAAAAGAAAGTAGAACTGATGATTGGTAGATGAAACAAAGTGCAAAAAGAAAGTAGAACTGATGATTGATAAGGGGAGCAAAGTGCAAAAAGAAAGTAGAACTGATGATTGGAATAGGCAACAAAGTGCAAAAAAAAGTAGAACTGATGATTGATAAAGGGAGCAATGAACAAACATAACTTGCAACAGATGATTGGTAAGGGGGAGAGTATAAAATCTAATTATTGATAATATACATGTACACTGCAATATTGTCCAAAAGGAGATGACATATTATATTTCACACAAGAGCAAGTGGAAAGCATGAAGGATCAACCTTACATATTACTTTTTACAGATTAATTTTTGTACATAAGGACATTTTTGAGCAGTTAGATAAATACAACTAAAATGTGTTGCTTGCCATTCAACACACAAAAGTCCTGACAATTTGTTTAAAAAAAAAAGTGTTTTGATTTTTAATTTTTTTTTTTTGCCTTTCATTCTTACGGCATGTTTGTTCTTATAACGTTGCAACAATTTTTAAAATAAGGGATTTTATTCCTCTTTGTCTTTTCAATTCTCTCTTGGTGTTTTTTTTCCCCTAGAACAAATGCACTTGGAAGCTTTTTTTGCCCTAGGAGATGGCAAATTTTCAACCTACTTACAATCTCTGGAACAAATCGTATTTGCGTGGGGTTCCTAAATGCTCATCCATCAAGATTAGAATTGACGCGTACATCTGGAGCTTAATATTATAACATTATCTTGCAAAATTGAGTTCATCACGCCATCCATTTGATTACTAAAACAAGACATGTATATTTTTTCCCTATCTTGCCAAATCTCTATAATGTATTTTTATTCTAATATGTTGGGCAAAAACATGTAATAAGTACATTTATCAGAATTTCTTTTTACAAACTTATAATTTCAGAAGCCATATTTAGCTTGGAAACTGTGACCTAAAATTGACAAGAATAAAGACATATAGATCAGAAAGCAAAATCACAAAGTTGAGTCTATATTTTAGAACCAAGACGCAGAAACAACTAATTCTCGAACATGAGAAAATATTTGCCTTAGTTTCTGAAGGCTAGGAATTCTATTTTAAAATTAAGTCCCAAAAGGAATTTCAAGACAAGTTACGCTGTCAGACCGACGATAAGATCAATACAAAGGCAACTTGTCGTTAGGTAGCCTGTGGTGCAACGCTAGTCTACGGGGAACGACTAAAAGTTTCTCAAACTGCTAAATTTGGCGCCAATAGACGGTGCCTTTTATAGAATGACAAAATTACTTCAGGCAGGTGCCAATCTTTATTAAAATGCCAATTCCAGACCTCGTCTGTTTGTCAAAGTGCAAGAAATAGGAGTTTTTCTGAAGGTTCATGAAACTCACGACCATTCATGCTTTTTTTTCCCAAACTCATTAATTTTCAAAAAAAAAAATCTAATTCACTATCTAATTTAAACAATAAACACATGCTTTTTTTCATTTCAAAGGAATATTTCTATCAAAAATGAAAAAAAAAGCTTTTACCAGTTTAATACCCTATATTTGCTTGTAAGACCAATTCTTAGTAATGAAAGCGGCGATGAAAACCTTTAGAGTCCGAGTCTAATTCGGGTGCGCATGACTTTGCACAGCTTTTTAATTTCATGCAGTCATTTATGCTACAGTACACCTTTGCCAAATATTTTGATTTTAACATTATCTGTAACCCATAGGAGGCTGAAAATGTGATTTTACGACAATAAATAGGAAAAAACCTAACGAAGTCACCGTTTTCGGATTTTGTAACAAATTCTTTACGCTTAAGGTAGGATTCTTCTCTGGTTTCAGACTAGATGAAACATTCAAAGTATATTTGCTTATATGTCTTAGAGATTTAGGGGTAAGGGATTTAAAAGACCATATTTTTCTTTCCTCATCACAATTGCACAACTTTAAATTGAAATGGTAAACTGCGTTTGAAAAATAGCGGGGACTATATTTTTGGCGGAATGATGGCGTATGAAAAAATCTTCTTTTCTGCCTCTCAAAATTATAATAGAACAACGAATTTCGTTATAATTTTAAGACAATCAAAGACTTGCAGAAATTTTCAAATGTGACTTAGATTAATAATAAGGGACTAAACTTTCAAAATATATCAAATAAATATGGTTTTTCAAACAAACCAGAACTATGTTGGCTTTTAAACGCTTCCAATCAAATTACAAAGTTGAGTCAAAAATCCATAAAAAGTATTTTTCTCTCTTATTAAACAATCATTTTTTTTTGTTTTTGTATCATTTTATACATTTAAAAGACTACTTTATTTTATGTGAAAATCAGAAAAAGTTAAATATAGGAAGCATACGAAAATAACTAATATACCCTAAAAAAACTAAGAAAAACAGAGAAAAATTCGGATTAGCCAATATCCAGTTTAGTTAAATTATTCATGTACATTTGGTAATATCATGCAATAGACCCGATATAGTAAAATCTTTTTATGCAAAAAGAACAATCTTTAAATTTTTTAAATAGAAGTTAGCATCACATGATTGGCAACAGTATTATTTTATTCATTATGTTAAGGAAAAAAATAATGACCTTGAGCTGATCTTGCCTCTAATATAAAACGGTCAAATTTAATTTCACTCATACTATCACTTACTGATATTGTCTTCTTGATTCCGTGAATATTTCATTAATTTTTAAATACAAGAAATTTGAGAAGAATCATACTTTAAGAATGACGAGTAACTCACTTGTATGTTCAAGGCATCCATAGATAATATATTAAAATCTGATGAAAAGAGCATCCTAAGAAACATACTAGCGATCTAGACATTGCTGTCTTTACCAAAGAAAAAAATCATATGCGCCGATAATTCATATTTATATCGTAATATGGCAATTTCAGATGTATTGGGCTTTGAAAAAAATAAACTTTGTAATTAAGACCTAGACCAACATAGATGGTGAACTTTTTTTTTTAATTTCACAATTTGGCGATTTTTACAATAACTTTCATCACTTGAATGAAAAAGAAATCCCAAAGGAAGAAATACAAAAAAAAAAAAAAAAAAAAAAAAAAAATATCGAAAAATGTTATAATTTGGCGCTTTTCCAACAAATCCCCATAGGGTCCAACAGTAAACTTTGATAACTTTTGAGATTACCCGTTAAGAAATCGGGATGGTAAATTTTCGGTTTTAAATCTTAAAACAATAAATATAACAGAAAAAAAATTAATTTTCAAGAAATTATCAAAATCCCTACGGCAGATATAATTAATCTCAGCCTCGCTAAATTTCAAGGTCTCCCTAGCCTACAGTTGAAGAAAGCGAACTCAAGTAATTTGTGCATATTGCTTATATACTTCAGTACGATGAAGTTGTCATCTTCACCAAAGCAAACTAAATTGTTTTCTTCATATAAAAGAAAGCGTATATTTGTTTAATGTCTTTCAGAATTTATTAGTAGACCATCCATGTTTCGCATGAAGATGTTAATATTTCCTGCAATCTATTTAATGTTTTCATTTTCATTATCAAGCTGTCTACTCAAATCCGTTCTTTTTCATTATTTACATTTCTGAATCATCCGAGATTGAGTGTTCTTTTCATAAATTGCTTTTATAGCGCAAACAGTTCTTTGTCAGAAGTGTTCTTTGAATAGGAGGAGAAATCGATAGTAACAAATGATGTCTTCTGTTTATATTTATCACGACGGTTGTGACTCGACAAGAAAAGTAAACAAATGAGAAAAAAAACTAAATTATAATGACGTTCTTTTATTTTTTCCTTTACTGAATGAAAGAAAACTGAGAAAAAGAAGTGCATTGAAGACAACCTGTTGTGATATATAGTTTTACAATGCCAATAATGGCAAAATGACATACAAATAAGTTCAAATTACGTCATGATTTACTCAGGTAATAGAGAAAATATTACTTTTTGTTATTCAATATAATGATTATGCAACCTTATAATGTAGTATAAACGTTCTAGAGTATAGAGTATATGAAAAAAACTGTCCTCCATGATTTTTTTTGTTACTTTATGATATGAATGCATTTCCGCCATTTCACATGTATCTTGTATATTGCTTTTTCTTGTATTTATTGTATATACATTGTAGAACCTCATGTACCATTAATTGGTTTGAGAGAATAAATTGAACTTGAACTTGAACATGTATCCTTGTCGGAGAATATTTTGCTCTTTGGATGCTTGATCGTTGTATTAATCTAAGAAAACACAAGTATAGAATGTTTCATGTGCTCAATATATCAAATGCATTTTTTTTAGTTTGACGTGAAGATGATATAGCATGAAATCATTTTTCTTCAATACTAGAATTTTCATTGAGAATATGCTAGATGTTTCATTCTCAACAGTGACAAACGGTAAGAAGTTGCTATCAGTGCTATTTTTTCATAGTGTAAAAGAATAGTAATTAAAATGATGCTTATCACACTGAGAAAGGATATCAAAGTAGTACATTGTCACATTTTGAAAGTAAGTCAGAATGCTGTATTAACAAATACGTTGATCTGTTTTAAAGTAAAAGAACAATCTTGAAAGAGGTCTTCATCTTTTTTTTTTACTCAAAATGTTTTAGTGTTTGTATTTGTTCTATATTATCAAGTAATCAAAGCTTTGGAGTTTATTTCACTACCAACAAATACATAAAATTCTTTTCATTTTAGTTCTTTAATGGTGATTCTGACACGTTAATTTTTTTCTAAAATCATGTATCACTCAGGTACTGAATTCTACCTCAAACTGCAAAAATATTGAAAATCTTCGATACATTTTCCAATGAATTTTTAATGTTGTTTTTCTAATTGTATATATAAATATACGTTAACATTCTAAATTTATACTTGCCATAAAGTATATTGAAAACTCGAAGAACTTTTTTCGTTTGGAAGTCTGAGAGTTGATTTTCTGCCATATCTGTAAAGCAGAAAGAGAAAAAATGTAAATGATGTCATAACAACAACCTAATGACATGCATGGCGACTTTAAGTTTTCAATCATCAACTTTCTTTCTTTACGTAGCAATGTGCGATTATCACCATCATACGGAGTTTATATCTCCAAGTTGATTTCTATCGCAAGAACAAACTCTACGTTCTAAAAGTGTGTTAAAGCTTCCACCGTATAAAATGATTGAACAAGGTTTTAAATAGTCTTTTTCAACAACAAAAAAAAAATTAAACCAACTTTATGGTCGATATTATGAACTTGTCAAAAATTACAGTCTTTCATTCAGTTAAATATTGACAAAAGATTTTGTAACATTTTTTACATTGCAAAGCAATTTATTAAATGCATAACAAATTTTAAATAATTGAGATACTGGTCATATAAATTGTATCACATTAGAACATCTTTAAAAATCATTTATATAGGAAAAATTATAAATCTAATAATCGGGAAACACTTGAACTACCTATTGCATATTTTTTAACGATAATTGATGAAATATATTTTAGGAATTCAATCTTTAAGAAAATTAAAACAATCTTTAAGTCGTATAAATCATAAAAGTATTAAAGAAAAACGTAACACTTCTAATTTCAAATGCTTATAATCAAAGCTAAATTAAAAGAAATTTGATTTTATTTAAATATGCAAGGTTAACTTAATTTTATGAGGTACAAATGTCGTTTGTTAAAACTTTAAAGAACATTGAATCATTCGTAGAGGCTCATGAAAATTTTTGAAAAAATTTCAATTTGCAAACCAATATATTTAATGCATATTTTACTTAATACTATATTCAATACCAATCTTTTACTTTTCTCCTTAGAAGTTGAAAAAAAAATGAAATAAAACTCAGACGCTCATTAGAAAAACTTCAAATAGACTTTTGTTCCATGTAGCTCAATGACAGTGCAGATTTTTGATGTAAGTAATTTGCACTTAATTGCTTGTCCATATAAGATACAGTGTATTGATGAAAGCAGCAATTTGATTTTGTAAGTAGCATTCGCCTTTATGACTCAATTACTGAGAAGCTGTAAAACAGATATCAAATAGGCGTTGTATCGCGAATATTAAGGAATTAATGGGGAATTAATATTTCAGATAATTGTATGCAAATTGCATTGGTATAGATTTCAACTGATGATATAATCTACTTAAGCAATCTGTTGATATTCCCATGACACGTTTTTTTTTTTTGTTTTTAAATTTATCTAAATTTTACAAATATTTTTTCAATCAAAATCATATATATTATTGTACGATTCAGAACTATATGAAAACAAATTGGTAGCATTCATAAATTAAAAATGATTTGTTCCAATATTTTGTTCCATGTCCTTAAAACTTTCCTAATTTATTCATACCTACATATTACTTATTTTCCTCTGAGGTTTACAGCAAAAATGCGTGTCAATAAATTCACATTGGTATTTTGTTAAGATAGAAAAGGAACTAGTTTTAAATTATCAAGCAATGAATGCTAGTCACTTTTATTGCTAAAACGTATTTAAATAAGATATTTCTGGAAATTGTGCTCACAGGTACATATATTCAACATTCAATTGCGATAATGTACCAGTATGATGAGTTAAAATAAGATTTAGCCCAAGAGATTTAATTTGTCTGTCAACGACTCACAAATCATGCACAATGCTCTTTGATATTGAATATATATAGAAATCTCCTAAAGCAACACAGACAGAACAGTGATGGTCCTAAGAGGGTCGTGTGCATTATGGAAGCAATTAAAGACGCCATCTTGGTAGGCCTCTAGCCATTTGTGGAATTGACAAGTTAAGCGTCTATATGATATCTTGAATGCTACAGATAGAGACTTCTGTTCATTGCGCGCTAGATTCAAGCACTTGAAAGACGAAGAGTGCCGCAATTTACAGACTAAGCGCATTAAAGCGTTTTCATCGGAGGATGATGATAACACAGTACAGTATAATTACTCTTGTAACATAATATCAGAATTGAACATGGTATCGATTCCGAAAAAGGCTGGGGGAGATCAATTACCGCACTGATTTAAAGACACGGGCAAAGTCAGAAGATCACAAAGTAATGCTGTTTAGCGATGATCAATGAAAAGATTTTAATGATCACGGAATACCACACCTTGGAATGTTCATTTTAACCCCCTTTGACCTTTTGTCTTGGGGAAAGGTTTAACAAAATGTTATTTTTTCTGTGTTTTTTGTCCAAGAATTTTTTTCTATTTATTTTAGTACTCTTTTAGCCGAGGGTTATCGGGTTGTTTGTATACAAGTGTATTTGTGGTTATAATTATTAAAAAATATATTTACATTTGATAATAACTAAAGGGCAAAACATTAAAGAAAGGATTTGCTGGCAAGAAAGGCTTTATTAAATTGTTGTCTTGCGTAAACTTTTTATAATGAGATTTTTGAAGCACTTTTTGATTTTTTTCTTGGAAAATCTTAATTTAACAGTAAATTGGTGGTTAAAAGAAAGAAGAAAATGGTTGTATAAAGAATTCTTTTAAATGTATTACCTAACAATTAACCTGCCTTTTTGGTTGAACGTATGAGAATTAAGCTAAATGTTATTTTTTAAAAAAAGTAAGCAACCTGCTTTCTCTAGTTACATATATGTAAGTTTAAAGCCATCTTGATATCCACTAAAACTGCCGATTTTATTTCAACAATGTTGCTAACATCCATATTTTAATACTCTCAATCTTACAACTGGTCTGTTTCAACCATTCTTGAATGATTTCATAGGATGTGAACGACAAAGAGTGAAAGAAATCAATGAAAAACAGAAAATTCGGGGTTTTGTAGTTGGATATTTGTTTCAAAAGCGGAATTCATCATTTTACCTTCAAGAATTCAATGCACTTCCCCAACTCTATCTGGAACCCTGGAAACGTGTGTGCAACAATCTAAAGATTTTTCAAGATTTGTTACATGTATTTCTAGAGCCTGTTATATACAAGTGCACTTTAAATGTGTATCTTTTTAATAAGTTAAATCTGAAATGCACAATTATTTAATTTACATAACTATTTCAGTAGTATTTTCCGGATTTAAATGCATGTTCGTGATCTTCAGTTTCGCTAGAGATGTAATTTTGCATAATTTCGATGACATTTTGATGGCGATAATTTTCAGTTCATCTATCAATGTTTGGAAGCAATTCTAAAAAAAAAAGTAAAGATCTGCTTTATGGTATTCGTGAAAAGGTTATATTTTTCTTGTTTAAATAACAAAAGATATTGACCTTTGTAGAACATACGTATATCTGTACCTTATCAACATTTTTGTCGTATTTGATTGAAATACGGCCACGGACTATTAAATTCCATCTATAAAATGGTGCTTGACGATTTGACGTATATTAAATTTACCGTCCAAGCAAGGAGTTGTTAAGCAAGAAAATGTAAATGTAAGCATTGAATCATTATTTTTTGCAAGATATAATCTTAAAACTGCAACAGTGTGTGCACACAAATTGAATAACGTGCGTTATCGCCTTATAAAAATGTGTTGCAATTATGAAACTATTTCTAGTAAGAAATAATGATTCAAGGCCTATATGAATATTCTGAATAACAAGAGAATTAAAACACACCAGTCAGGATACGATCCTTCGAGCATAAGCATAACTATAGAACCATTCTTCCTCATGCGATGGCGTCTCCATTTTAGCAAAAAAATTCTAGAGAGGACTATTAAGCATCAGACAAAAAAAACTATCATTATAAGAACCATAAAATTTGTAGTTATTTCAAGTTTTTGACTTTACACAAAATCTCCATTGTATCAACTTATCTATTAGAAGTCTGCTTCAGTTAAAAATAAATCACGACTTTCTTCTGCGTATTACAATGTAAATATTTTGGGAGACATTATCACCATTTGCAGGTAAGTGAAATGGGAGAAAAGTATATTAAAGAGAAGAATTGATGTCATTCAATTTGTTTTTTTTTATTGGTTTGTTGGTAGAAAGCTTTTGTCACCTATACTCAGTAAAACTTTCATAAAAGTCTAATGGTACACATTGGGGCATTTTATGTTAAGTTCTCATGTTACGACTTCATTGTTAAACGATTCGTTGATTTATATGATATCAAGTTATTAAAAAGTCAAATGCTGACTAATAGTTTCATACTAATTTGCACTTTATATGTACAATGAATTACACACACTGTCGAAGGATTATTCGTTATTTCTCGATCATGAGAAGAAGCAACCGGAATGTGTAATCGGTATGCGTTAGATGCCCAGTCCTCCATGGCACCTGATCCATACATGTACTCTAACATGTCAGAGGGCCATTCTTCCTCTGCTCATGATTTGTATTGAATAGTGGGCTTCTGAGCTTGAATACTGTTGTTTCTTTCACCATTGATCTTACTTTACGAAATATTATTAAAATGACAATTCCTTTTCTAATTATATACCAGACTGTGAACATATACATGTATCTCTGAAACAGAATATACTGTACATATACCTTTGACTCTGGGGACTCAAATGATCGGACTTGGATTTTTTTAAATTCCATTTAATCACTTTCTGAAACTGATGAAAGTGTATTTCACAATGTTTTTTTTTTTTTGTCTTGCATATCCAAAACAGTTTGAACATATTTTTTTTATTGTATTTATCACCAAATTTTGATATAGTGCAATGACGATAACACGTGCCTTCTTGGTAATGGTTTAACATTATCAAGACTATGGGTTTTAAATAGATGACGCAATATAATCAAGCACCTTATCCCTCTGGTTTTCATAATCTACCGAAAAAGCTAGACGTTTTGCAAACTTTCATATCATAGAAAAATTAAAAATATCCGCAATGTCACCCAAATCAAGAACAATTTGGACACAACAAGTTAGACGTGATTCAGCAAAGCGTATGAGAATGGAAAGGAACGAATGGCAAAGATAACAGCTCGGAAGGTGATATGAAGATGACAAACATACCACTCCA